AATATACTTGTGTAAGACAGGTTGATATCATATTGGCCTAATTATAAGGCCGATGTCTGTGATATTGGCCCAAGCCAATATCACAGGCCTCGGCCTAATAACTGGGCCAATATGATATCAGCTGATTTATGACACTTTTATTAATTAACAGTGAATATTTTGAATACATAAATTTAAACAATAGGTCTTCTGAAAAGTAAAAACATATTCCTAATTAGTAGGATTACTACAGAACAATGTAACATGTTTATCACCTGCCCTCTTGATCAGCGACTCCTCCATTACGTCCATTGTTGTTGATTGTGTTGACACGGGATAGTAAGTAAAAAAGAACCAACAATCACGACGAATTCCGAATGAAGTGTACGCTCGATTTGGCGCATTTTTCCATATTGGCTGAGTTGAAAGTCGACCAATATCGGGGAAAAGTCGGCCAATATTGTGGTAATGTTATGAATATAGGCCGAGTTTGGTTGAAATATTGCTGGGCCGGAAAAGACATACGAATGTAATATATTAGATAGCCAATTAATGATAAAAAATACAACAACCTTATAATTTAAACCTTTCCAGAACACCTGGTCCTATTCTCTTCGTACTTTTTCATTGGTCTCCATCTTAATCTTTCCTTTAGTCATAATTGCCCTATGTTAACTAAGTTCGTTCGAATTGCAGTCTTGATGACAGGATCCTACATCCTATAGGCAAACAATATAACAGTTTATCTCAGCAAGAACCGCCGTCAGGAACCACCATCCATTTAGTGGAAATTATATAATATATTTTATTATCGCGGTACATGTACACATCAACCGAGAAGATTGGAGTCGATCAATAAAATAGAAAATATACAGAACAAGAGGCCCAGGGGGCCTGTATCACTCACCTGGTTATTTAAGCAATCATGGCACACTATTTACATTTGCTCTGTATTGCCAATTTGTAACCACTTCAGACATGCAGGGTAAGAACTTGGAAGCGTTACTATGGAGACTTTATAATTCATAAAGAATTAAGGTTGTTACTATTACTAGCACATTAGTTGTGTTGGAGATAAAAAGTATGTGATGGCTGTTCATTTGTCGAATTGTCTATATAAACAATACCAAACTTTTCCCCCTCCCCAAAGGGAAACGAGGGACCTGGGGCACATGAAAATCACAAAGTATATAAACCACTCGAAGGCCTTTCCAACTATGAGTAGTATTTGATACTAGCATTTCTGGAACTGCAGAAGAAGATTTTTGAAATTCGCCTCCTTTTTCACCCCAAACCCAGCCCCCTAGTGGGTCAGGGTCACAAAAATTATTACAGCAGACCTTCCTCCCCTCACAAGTATATCTGTCAAATATGAGCAAACTCCGTTCAAAACATTGGAAGATATGGCCTATTATGTATATTTCCTATATAAACTATACTAAATTTCACCCCTCACCAGGTGCAAACGGAGGGCCTGGTAGACATGAAAATCACAATTTTTATAAACCACCCAAACGCTTTTACAGCTATTGGTAGTATTTGATCCTGGCATTTTTGTAACTAGAGAAGAAGATTTTTGAAATCCCCCCTTTTCGGCCCCTAACTCAGCCCCCTAGGGGGTCAGGCTCATGAAAATCACAATTTTTATAAACCACCCAAAGGCCTTTACAACTATGAGTAGTATTTGGTTTTAGCATTTCTGGAAATGGAGAAGAAGATTTTTATTTCTTTTCTAAATTTTCCCCTTTTTGGCCCCTAACTAAACCCCTAGGGAGCCACACCCTTATTTCACAAATCCATTGAGCTCCTGGTCCAATGGATGGTTCATATCAAATCTAGTTAAAATCCAATCAGTCGTTCAGGAGATAAAGGCTTTTAAAGGGAAAAGTTGACGCCGGACGTCGGACGACGGACGCCGCGGTACTGCATAAGCTCACTTGCCCTTCGGGCAACTCTATTCTTTCTTTTTCTTTTTAACTTGTTAAAATCATAGTCACATAAATCATGTTCTAAAACAACATTTAATGCTGTTATCAAACATGTTGTATCATCATGAATTCATAATCAACTACATTTCATGAAATCATAGCTGTAACACAAAACCTCTCACTGTAAGAAAACAATATTCCAACACATTGTTAATGACGAAAGTCTTGCTATCTTGAAAGTTAATATATAACTTAATAATATTTCGTATTCCGTCATATCTGTGATATGACGATAAATATCATTGGTTGATACCCATGTATTATTGGAAATTGGCCAAGAGCGTGCATGTTTATTTCCAAGCAAATAATTAAGATCCAACTTAAACTGACATGACATGACCAAGGCTGCGGTGTCAACCCTTCCACTGACATGACCAGACCAAGGCTGCGGTGTCAACCCTCCACTGACATGACATAACCAAGGCTGTGGTGTCAACCCTTCCTCTGACATGACATGACCAAGGCCGCGGTGTCACCCCTTCTACTGACATTACATGACCAAGGTTGCGGTTTCACCCCTTCCTCTGACATGACTTGACCAAGGATGAGGTGTCAACCATTCTACTGACATGACATGACAAAGGTTGCGGTGTCAACCCTTCGACTGACATGACTTGACCAAGGATGAGGTGTCAACCATTCCACTCCCGACATGACATGACCAAGCCTGCGGTGTCAACCCTTCCTCTGACATGACTTGACCAAGGATGAGGTGTCAACCATTCTACTGACATGACATAACCAAGGTTGCGGTGTCAGCCCTTCCTCTGACATGACTTGACCAAGGATGAGGTGTCAACCATTCCACTCCCGACATGACATGACCAAGGATGCGGTGTCAACCCTTCTCCTGACATGACATGACCACGGCTGCGGTGTCAACCCTCCCACTGACATGACCAGACCAGGGCTGCGGTGTCACCCCTTCCTCTGACATGACATGACTAAGGCTGCGGTGTCAACTCTTCTACTGACATGACATAACCAAGGCTGGGGGGTCAACCCTTCCTCTGACATGACATGGCCAAGGCTGCGGTATCAACCCTTCCCCTGACATGACCAGACCAGGGCTGCGGTGTCAACCCTACCACTGACATGACATGAGCAAGGCTGCGGTGTCAACCATTCCACTCCCGACATGACATGACCAAGACTGCGGCGTCAACCCTTCCACTGACATGACATGACCAAGGCTGCGGTGTCAACCCTCCACTGACATGACATAACTAAGGCTGTGGTGTCAACCCTTCCTCTGACATGACATGACCAAGGCTGCGGTGTCAACCCTTCCACTGACATGACTTGACCAAGGCTGAGGTGTCAACCATTCCACTCCCTTGTTGTGCATTCCATCATGATATAAGCTCATATATTGATAACTACTGAAATAGTTCAAAGTAATGATCACACAGCCTTGCTTGTAATCCCATTTAAGACATTTATAAACGATAAACAATCATGATTCAGATATACTTTTTTTGACAGTTACTTGTGGTTTGAAAACATTTTTTTGGGGTGGACCTATCCCGTTATTTGTATTGGCTGTTTGGTTACCGGTCCTTTTGAGATGCAGACTTTGAAATCAATAAAATTTTGATTGCGCAGAGTAAATCACTTCAGCCTTTAAAATATAACGGACCTTGTTCGAGTTAGACATTGGGTTTATCCAACTATTCTACACGAGGGAAAGATGCATTTGTCACGAACACATAAAACACCATCACCATTAAATTGAAAAATGTAGTTGGAATAATGTTTACATTCAATGTGGAACCTATCTTCATGATAAATACAACATCTCTGTTTATTTTATTTCAACTATCGGAAATTCGTTATAGACATAAATTCACGTGCAGTTTTACTGATGTTGTTTCTTCCTTAAATAACATATAATTTTGAGAAATACTTGCACTTGTTATCTTTAGGTTTATTCCATTAAGGTTGCTCTGACTTGTATAAGTTGTATTTTGTCTTGAAGTATCCGTTGTGCAATGGTAGCGAACAGCAACACGCCAAGAACTGGAAATCAAGAATTTTCAGGAGGAAATCTACAACATATCAGCTTTTTGTTATACCCGTGAGTTGGACTCGAGATATCGATGATATGCTACACACATAAGAGTGTTATAAAAAGAAAAGAAAAACAAATAATGTGAGTCTGTTCATTTATCTGTTCTTATTAATGCCTGTACGTACAGACGACGACTCGATACACAAACGGTGTTGTTGGAATCCTGGAACGATGACTGTACACAACCCCTTACAGTATCCACGTGTTCTACATAATATAGTCAGCTCGTGCAAATGTAAACGATTTTGTGTAAACTGAAGTTGTTATGTGGAAATATGTTGCAGAAAGGAATGTATTTTGTTCCTCATTACAACCTCGGTACATCAGATAATAGGTGTAGATTGTGATCCAACCCTCAGAATGGGTGTTCTATACATATAAAGAGATATTCTTTAAAAGCGCCATAGTACGAATTCGTGGCAAGTTAGATCTGACATTTGTCCTGGCTTGGATAGATAAACATTGTTTTAGTGCTAGTTTGAATTAACTCCTCACTTATTTAATACCAAATAATCAGTGGTCACTCAACCGTAACTGGCCTAAACATATCCCGAGTAAGTAACGGAGCTTGTACCATTGTGGTCACAGACACGCGCTTTTAAATATAACGTATACAGGCTTCAACATTTTCACAGCACAGCCATAAGTGATTTGAATGTAAAGAGTTAAAAAAACTTCGTTTCGTAAGTATAAAATACATTTGGATATATTTAGAACACAATTATTTCCAAATATTCATACAGATTTGGTAGTCATATAATTATGGCCGTATGAAACAAGAAATGATAATAAGCCAATAGTTAAAACACAGCATAAAAGTCTAGATTGCCGACTGTGTGCATTACATAGGTCCAAGCCATTGGTCAACCACACTTTTTCAAGACAGACAACATATATGTCCATACTGTGAATGGATTTTGTCATTTTGAACGACTATTTACCAGACAAACTACGACAAAGGATTCAAATGAGCAGTAACTTTATTGAGACAAGTCACGGACAAGTGTCTGATGTTTTAGACATTTAAAAAAAGACAATATGCATTACATACAATTGTCAATTCTGCCATATTATAATAATAACTATCAATCTGACAATGCACATGACCCATGTATCTCATACATGCCTAACATACACATTCTTTCCAAACAGATATAAGACATATACGCCTTTTGTAAACAGATATTACACATTAACGACTTGAGAACATATTTAACAACACATACCAACACACACATCACTAGACACTTCTTTTACAGCTCACACTTACAACACTCCCGTCGTCTCGTCCCGTCTATACATCCATAACTGTTCTATCGACTTGTTTCCCTCTTTTTCTCAGAAAGTTCTTATCGGGTTGTTAATACCCATAACGCCCCCATCTAGTCTCCTCACATACAGGTATACTACTCCATTCCTCTATCACGCTTATAACACGGAGGTCACTTTCGTTTTCGCATCCCCTTTCACGCACATATTCCCCGTCTACTTGTCCCCGCGCACTCAAAAGGATTTCCCCATCTGGTTCTAACACGTGCACTCATAATGCCCTCACTTTCTTGTCCCCATACACTTATAACGATTCCATCCTATTGTCCTCGCACATGTATAACGCTTTCATCCTCTTATTCCTTCATACTCTCATAATTTCTCCATTCTATTGTCCTCGCACACTCATAATGCTTCCATACATTTCTCTTCCCCATAGACAGGTTTCAACAATTTTCCCGGTGTGAGATATCATTGCCTCATCCTTGGGTTTAGATGGGAATTTTTCCGGGCAAAATAATGGTATGATGTCACTTAAACATTGCATCATATACAGTACAGAGTTAACAGAGGAAGGGACATTCCATTCCTGATGTGAGATAGGAATCTCAACCCTCTGGGAACAAAAGTTTTTTAAGCTGCCAAACGGTCGACAAGCATTGTGTTTGAAAATTGAAAAATTTCCCCCTTGAGTTGAAATTCCTCTATCGCACCCAAATGGGAGGACACGATGCTATTGTCTCCATCCTCTTGTCCCCACACTCTTATAACACTTCCAATCTCTCGTCCTCGCATACACTCATAATGTCACTTCCATCTTGATCCTTAACATACATACACAATGATCCCATTCTCTCGCATAAACTCCTAGTGTTCACATGCTCCCATCCACTCATATCGATGCTCATAATACTCTTCTCTCATATTATTTATATTGTTCATTTTGTTTGCAATAAAATATCAAAGACTACAATTATCTGAAGTATTGAAATTGTAAAAATATGGCCCGCTCATTATTTTGTATCAATGATAATTGCTTTCACGAACACTTTTTTGTAAATAATTTAAGTCCATTGTACTTCGACTTTTCATCATATAAAAAAAGTCTACATTTAATATTACAGAATCAATTTTAAGTTCACCTATTTTTATTTGATAAGTAAATGCGAATTGCCATGTGTTTGCTATTTAACTGTTGTAACACGTATTCGCACCTTTCATCTGCTCCATTCAATCACGTCTCAGTGGCGCTTGGCGCCAATACAAATAAACACATACATTCACATAACCTACAATATAATGAAACAATCATTATTTGCTTTTCTGAAAGACTTTAAAGATGAACCAACATTGTAATTGTGTAGACAGTACTTACTGTGTAGATATAAAGCTAACTTGTGTTAAATGTTACTGTGTATACAAAAGTTACTCTGTGTATAGACGTATTGTATCGACTTGATGATTTAGACTCATTGTATACATTCTTTAATCGTATAACCTGTGTAGAGAACTTATTCTGATAATGTTTGGAGTGCAATTTATGTGTAGAATCGTTGTATCTATTGTGTTGTAAATACTTAAAGGAAAGTTTTGTTTCTGTTATTTGTTTCATGTTCTCCTTAAGTCTATTTATTATCAACAGATCGATGCCTTAAAATGCAATAATCCAACAAACATAAAATATATGCAAAAGGTCATCGCAACCGTAGGAAGGATGAGGTTAAAGATGAAACAGTATATAAATCGTATATAATAGACTTTCAGCACTTTCATATATGTCAAGCACTTGTCAAATGCATCTTCCGGGCACATTTGTGGTAGAAAATTACAGTATTTACAATATATGGACGACAACCAAGGATAACATGTAGATGCATATGCACCAGTTATTGCACAAAGAAAGCCAGATATATTATGTACATAGGACCTTTAAAGAAATGAGAATTATGAATGGTCTAACAAGCATAAAATTAAAAAAAAAGATATATGCGTAACATTTCTATATATATCAACATTTTAGAGCCATGGCTCATGAAAGCACCAATCTTTGCCGACATTTTGTATCTGTTTCTATTTTAATAAAATGCATAACAATCGTCTATCTTTCATCATTGATACAAAATGCGTTTTGTTTCGGCATCAAACGACAACAGTAATTACAGAACACATCATCACCAGTTGGATGTAGCATCACATTGAAAACGAGCCGTGGCATTCTCATATCTCGAACAGTAACTGTGACAAACTTGGATAACCTTTACCACTAGGTGGCGTGCGATTTAACAGTGTGTCACTAATATAACCAATCACATGCGCTCTATTTCATTACCCCCACTTCCGTCAATCATTTTAATACGTCATTATCATTCAACCTTTGGACTCTACGTGTACATGTTACAGTTCTTAATCGGTTTTATGTACATCCCAAATAACGTGTAAAGTCTGGGGTTAATATTTTCTACATTAGCATAACATCATCACCATTGTCCTCATCGGGAGAGGACATCTTTTTGCGGCAAACTGATTGATAAATTCATAGACAATGAGTTTCAGGATTTAAAATATCACAGTAGGAAGACGCCATATTTCTGTATCTATAAATGACGTCATACGTATACGTCATCAAATGAAATACTTAAAATTGTGTGTTCTCCACATCACAACATGTGTTAATAATCAATTTTATCAACACTTCATCTATCTGTAATTTTAATCTCTTTTCACAGTTCCTCAAGTGATATCTATGTCTTTTTCGAATTTCAGCAACCCGATGGTCGGTTCGTATGTTCCCGCCAAATAATAAACGTCCTGTTCGTCTCCATTCCCACATTTCTTCCGTAATTCTTTCTGTCGCCTACAGAACTCCTTGTACGAAAGGACGTCACACTTGTGAGAAATTGTCTGTACGTCGTTCTCGTCTATGTGAAGGGACTGGAACAAAGCTCCCTGCAAATACAATGAGATTGGTTACGGATACAAGAAAAAAATGTTCTTCTGAAAATAGAATAAAATGGATGAGAAATGTCAGTTTTTGATATGATAACCATTAGGTTTGGTAAAAAACAAATGTGATTTGAGGATCCAAATTGTTAACCACATATATTTTTGTAAACGTGTCCAAGACAAGTTGAAGTTATTCGCTCATTTTTAAACAACATGGATATACACATGTATGTTCGAATTAAAAGGAATGTTTAAATGACAAATAGCGAAAATGCTAAGGCTTAAGATGATTTTTTTTATCTGCGCTTTAACTTTTGCGTTTATCTTTTACCTTCATGTCCTGGAGTTTCTTTCCTCCCCGTGTTTCCTCTGGGTGGTAGAACCATTTGACTTTGACAATCATCTGCCCACCCCATGCCTCCCACATGCTATCAATCCGACCGATATATGGCAGGTGGGGTCTTCCAGTGGAAAGAAATACTGCGCAGTCGCCAACCTGAGAAAAGAGTATTATACTATAATCATGAAGGTGTAATATTTAATTGACCCTTGCGATATAGTTTTCAAATTTCGTGTACTTATTATTTCTAGTACGTGTTTATGAAAATTAAATATTACTGTGAATAAATTCTTTCCTAGAAAATATCATATAATCCATTAGCATAGCAAATACTGGTCCATCTATCTCGGTCATACAGTGACAGCCACTGAACTCTTACCAAAATATTCTCTCGACCTCGCACTATAGCTTTGTAGAATTCCTTTTTGGCCTTTCCCTTGAGGCCAGGGCGCTTTGTACACTTGCCCGACCACCGCCAGAGCTGTCTTGCGGGAAGAAAAGCTGTAATGAGGAAGTTAGAGGTAATCATTAGGATCGATAGGTCCAAAATAAAGTTCATGCAAAAGCCACGAAAACCATTGTCGGTTAAACAATAATCATTCATTGAAAACAAACCATGAACGACTTGAATAATTCGAATGAATGATAGGGCTTCATTAAAATGTCCTCATTCTCCTCTCCCGACCAGGTATTATCAGGTATAATTGCTTTCAAAAGTATTTTTGAATGAGTTAATCCGTAAGGAATTATATGAATATATTAATATAATATATGTAACTGAATGAAATATTGAAATTATATACCAATTTAATCATTAGCGTAGGTAGGGAGAAGGGAAACAATCAGCATTTGTATCATGGTCTGACCGTATCTTTTGGTGATAATGGTTTCACTTGAATATATAGTGCTGAAATTCATCGCTTGCATATATAGTGCTGTAATTCATCACTTGAATATATAGTGCTGAAATTCATCACTTGAATATATAGTGCTGAAATTCATCACTTGAATATATAGTGCTGAAATTCATCACTTGAATATATAGTGCTGAAATTCATCACTTGAATATATAGTGCTGAAATTCATCACGCAAATGGAACTATAATGATAGATATAATTTGAACAACATGAAATCGTTTCAGGCTATTTAATCCCCCGTCGCAGTCATATATACATGCAATAGGCATGTCGGCATTAAAAGTGTTTGTATTATGCTGTTTACGATGAATGCTATGAATAAAATAGCTAAAACAACTACTAATTAAGTTATCCAGGAAACACAAAATGATACGCTAAACGATTATGATTGATGTGTATATATTCTCGTTTCAAAATTACAAAACATATCAGATGTTTATTTTTTGTTTTCGATATAAAATGTTTAATTACCGTGTACTTTCGATATAAATACGACATGATAAATATTTCACGATATTTATGTTCGTTCATTACATCAGGAGGAGAATTATGGCAAATGGTTATTCTTACACATTCAGTAAAGTCTATAAGCTGTTATTGCCCCATATACACATTAAAATCATCGCAATGAGGACGTTTGAAGCAGAGTTGCGAATACAGGAAATCGCATAAATTAAATGAGTTGCAGCAACAATTCTGAATCGCTATTACACACAGGAAACAAGAATGTACAACATCTACAAATAGATTGTGTTGTATCGATATATCATAAAGACGGGGTCAGGTTTATCAATAAACAACATCTATTGATTATTGTTTCTCGATGTACATCTACACAAAGTTCTATCGATATGCATTGCACAACAAATATACAGGGATACATGTTATATCGATGAACATCATTTACAACGGTTGCTGCTATATCGATATACATCTACACAAGGGTTCATACTATATCGATCTACATCTACACAAGGGTTCATGCTATATCGAGATACATTTACACAGGGGTTCATACGATATCGATATACAATAACAGGTGTTCATGCTATATCGATATACATTTACAGGGGTTCATGCTATATCGATATAAATCAACACTTGGGTTCGTGCTATATCGATATAAATCAACGCTGGGGTTCATGCTATATCGATATACATCTCCACAAGGGTTCATACTATATCGATCTACATCTACACAAGGGTTCATGCTATATTGATATACATCTACACAAGGGTTCATGCTATATTGATATACATCTACACAAGGGTTCATGCTATATCGAGATACATTTACACAGGGGTTCATACTATAGCGATATACAATAACAGGTGTTCATGCTATATCGATATACATTTACACAAGGGTTCATACTATATCGATATACATCTACACTGGGGTTCATACTATATCGATATACATTTACACATGGGTTCATACAATATCGATATACATCTACACAAGAGTTCATACTATATCGATATACATTTACACATGGGTTCATACAATATCGATAAACATCTACACAAGGGTTCATACTATATCGATATACATCTACACAAGGGTTCATACTATATCGATATACATTTACACAGGGGCTCATACTATATCGATATAAATCAACACAAGGGCTCAGACTATATCGATAAAAATCAATAATGGGATTTATGCTATATCTATATAAATCGACACTGGGATTCATGCTATATCGATATACATCTACACAAGGGTTCATGCTATATCGATATACATTTACACAGGGGTTCATACTATATCGATATACAATAACAGGTGTTCATGCTATATCGATATACATTAACAGGGGTTCATGCTATATCGATATACATTAACAGGGGTTCATGCTATATCGATATACATTTACAGGGGTTCATGCTATATCGATATACATTTACAGGGGTTCATACTATATCGATATACATCTACACAAGGGTTCATGCTATATCGGTATACATTAACATGGGGTTAATGCTATATCGATATACAATAACAGGTGTTCATGCTATATCGATATACATTTACACAAGGGTTCATGCTATATCGATATACATTAACAGGGGTTCATGCTATATCGATATACATTTACAGAGATTCATGCCTTATCGATATAAATCAACACTGGGGTTCATGCTATATCGATATACATCCACATATAAGGTAATACTTTGTCGATATAAATAACATACACAGAGGTTCATATAATATTGAAACATAAATTACTACAGCTTTGTTTTACATACACAGGCAGCACAGTTATACAAGCAAGTATGCAAGCATGACGAATATAGTGTGTTTTCTCTACGTTTATTTTTATATATAAAAACAACCACTTTCATGCATGTTGTTGAATTTCTGATGGATATATAACAAAGCACACTACACCATACATCTTCATAATCATCCTGTTTAAGTCGTTCATTTAATGATAGAAACGCAATGCTCGATACCATTATTTTTCCATATTCTACACTTGATGATATTTAATTATGCGGATTTCTCCGAAACATTAGATTCATTGCTACTGATGACAAATACTTGGATATAATGACAAAGTATGAAACGATGCACAATTGTTCAAGGACAAGACGACATTGTTTATGATTTTAGGCGTCAATGTTTTCTATCAGAGTTTGTAATGTTATCCAGCATTAAGCATAAGCATGAATAAGAAGTGTGATGTCAATGTGTATTTCCTTATTGAGTATGGATACTAACAAATAGACAACATCCCTCCGTGAATTCCAAAGCTAGAAATATGTGGGGCTGGAGATTTGCATAGAATATCGCAACATCGCTAAGCAAATGAACAAAAAGCAGATTTGCATTTCGGTTTTGATTATAAAAGTCCAAAAAGAAAGGCAACTATTTGTTATAATTGTTTAAATCGAAAATATAATTTTCGATCGTACCTGCTATTTTGCTTTTACTCTCAGTGGAAAGTGATCTTTTTGTGCACTTGGGTTTGGCGTGATGTCCTGAAGTACTAGCGTCTTCACCAAAGGAATTACTATCACCATCCCACTGCTGATAATCGTTTTCACTTTCCATATACAAATTGTCAATTCTACTTTCACTTTTGTTCCTATTTAGAATATGGAGGGATCCTGAAGATTTGTACTCAAATGTAGCTGCCTTTATCAAAGAGGTGACATGAAGTTTCTTACTTTTGATGCTAGAATCCTTACAATGATATCGTGTTTTACCTTGATCTGAGCTCCTCGAGCCATCATCAGAAACATCATCACCATCATCAGAAATATCCGATTCCTTAGAATCATCGGAATACTCCTTGTCCTTTTTTCGTTTCTTCCCACTTGATTTAACCTCCGATTCAGAGTCTTTGCCGGTCCCGTTCGAAGATCGATCTCTTTTCGTTTGTTTTGTATCAGACTCCTTAGCATTGTTGGATGATTTAGATCTCTCCTTACGGAAACTTTCCATCGAGAAGCCATGGTTGAATACATCGTCTCGATCTTCATCGAATCCACAAACATCCACTTCCTCCTCTTCGTCTTCCTCTGCTGCAGAAGCATCGCTCTGTTGACTTGCATCATCTTTCTTCGGTTTTGGAGGTCGTCCGGGACCTCGTTTTGTTTTAAGGGCAGACTCTGACGACTGTGCAGAGCTTTGAGATTTTCGAGGTGGTTCCATGCTATCAGACGTTGTGTGACGACGTCGCTTTCCTATCAGTAATAGTGGATTAGGATCATACGCTGCAAAATCAACAGAGAACCCCTATTTATACATTCACATATATAGCATGTAATGCATGACACTACTGTTTTCCTCCGCCTCCAAGTTTGTAACATTACCATTTTAAAATATACAACACCTGCTCGCTGTATAAAATAAACTAATGACGCTATGCATGAGTTCAAATAATATGAGGAGTGAAATGTCAATAAGGTGTATTATCAAAGTACGTTCGTTCTCGCCGGCATGTATTTTTTCTTCTAAACAATTTAACTTTAAGTTGTCTACTCGATCTATATAACTTCACTAGTAGAAATTTATTACGGTTATATCATCGTTATATGTTCCAAATATAATTCGTTGCGTAATGAGAAAAATATCTGTATTTACATAGATAGCTATTCAAACCTCGTGACATACAAAATAACCAATACAGTTTATACTTACAAACGTGAGGGAAGTCCTTTGGTAGCATTCTGATATGATCCAATGGAATACGGCCAGAGTCCCCATCATCAAACTCCACATTAATGGAACCGGTATCGCCATGAGGGTTTGGGCTCGCTACAATGCATAACGAATATTGTAAACAAACTTATTTTCGCGGAAAGGTGAATCCACGATTTCATGCTACAACGAAAAGGTTTCACTTCAGACTGGACAATCCAAAATCAACAAATTCAGCTCTAAGGGAATTAGTATTTCTCTACGTAGCGCAAAAAACTAAAAAAAAAACATTCGGCAGCAATTTAAATGTAAACAAGAAGGAAACATATCGGAAAAAAATGGTATGTATCTATGTCACCTTTTGCAACTGTGCCCGGGTAGAGACAGCTAAACTGTTGGCTCCAGTAGGCACACACACGAATCCCTTCGAGGAGGCAGCGAGTTGTGCTAGGTTTCACGTCCACAATCTGGTGGAATCAAATGAGATTTAATGAAAGTCCTCAACAAGAAAAGGTAAAAGCTTATATAATCATAAGACCAAACGTAGAGAGAATTCTATAATAGATTAAAATGAGGGCTTTAGAACTACCTCGTATTTAATTTGTTTCTCTTTAATCACGGTTAATACTGAAACGTCACATTTGGAGAGCATGTCGTGATAATACACACAGGATGTGGTAAATTGAAGCATCTTATGTGCATTATTGGCCAATATTGCGATCTGACAAAAATGATAACAAACCGATACTCGGAACAGATTATGGAGTAACAAATTAAATATGATATATGGAAGTTCATAAGAAAGACTATTATTTATACTTAAAACATCACGTTTGCCTGGCGTTTAAATGTAAATACCCACCACCTCCTTTAGGATCTCCTCTTGAGAGTAGATGTGGGGGCGGTTGCCTCTCTCGTTGTCTATAAGAACTCCGTATACGTCAGGAGGACGAATCCCCTGAACGGCCCCCTCATAGAACAGGCCGTCTTTAAACACCAGTACCCTCAGATTGTCTGCTAATTCGTCCTTACTGATTGCACAGGAACGGGGTTCTGTAAACAAGGGAGGAGGTAATTATTATCTTATTTATTAGAAATAATAAAATAACATGCATTTACATTATCAGTTAAAATATACACGAAAGTGTAAATTTAGATGATATATCAAACGCACGCGTGGAATGCCAAACAGCTTTTGATAAAAACAAATATCATTCATTTCATATCACTAGTAAACAGATCTTCACCATGGTTTTTCTAGATACATAGTCATCTTTGCACACATTACATGCTTCTTCATATGCATGTAGCCCTGTTGTTTCACGTACCTGGGATAGAAGGCATCTCGCGCAGCACGCTGAGAGGGATGTTGTCGCTGCCACTACTATCCGAGTCGTAGCCACTCACTATTGGTTCCGACTTTAAACGTTCTTTCTTTCGTTTTGGCTTCTGTCATATCAAAAATATGTAAATACTAGATACCATTTGCATAGCATAATAGTATAGTAAATGATCGATTTCTAATTGTGCTGAAGCAAGTTCTAAAATCATTTTATCAACTTACACAAGTATTTAACATATTTTCAGGGTTTTTTCAATTTGTCGTTATCACTTACATTTGTTCTCATTCTGTAAATATATTGTATAGAAATAGTCGCTTTTCAGCCCCGCATGCTACAGAGCGGAAGGTGCAGACCGGGAGTCCGTACCAGTAGCAGTAAGTCCGTACCAGTAGCTTTAGTAGAAGCGTCAATAGTAGTCTAAGACTAATGGTATGACGTCGACAACGGTGAGTTAACGGTGAGTTTACTAGGCATATAAACAATCTCCTATGCAAGTTGTGTGGCAAATTGATGAATACGTTCTTTTAACATTTGAAACTCAAGACAACTGTTGTTTAAACGTTTAGAGTTTGAACATTTCAACATTCACGTTTCAATAATCTTTCAAGAAATATAACATACCTATTTATGATGTGTTTTCTCGTTTTAATACTTGCATCTTCGTACCGGTAACTTTACCTAAAAGTATGCATTACTCACTTGTTTGGTATCCTTCGCCTTGCTCTTGTATTGGAATGCTTTGTTGTATTTGTTTTTGACCTTCTGAGTAAGCTCCTTGATATTTTTGGCTTTCTGAAGTTTTGCTTTTTCACTTTTAGATTTGGCGGGAGAAGGTGCTGTCGTAGGCGGTGATTTTTTAGCTGGTGGTGTGACTGCTGCTTGTGGTTTAGGAGTGTTCGCTGAGACATTCGTGGTATTAGGTGAAGGTTGTGGACTCGGTTCACTCAGGAAAATCCGCTCGCTCCGCCGAATAAACCATTCCTGATCTAAATACAATGGCTCCATTGGAGTGGAAGTTTCAACCTGCAAAATCAACGTATGACGCGTTTGATTCTTATTCCAGATTTGAGTAAATGATTAAACTTATTTCATTACTGTTATAGTTTCCAATAACTGCTGATTGTTTGTGAAAGGTATACCTGCTAATGACAGATATAATATATGTAATATAGTGTATGGCTTAAACTGAGTGAGTTCCTACCTTTGTCTTCCGTTCCTGCGCAGACGTGTTGGAATGTGCTTTCACAACGTCCTCAAATGAATGGAAGTGGTAGAAGAAATTTTTGGAGTTCCTTGCAACAATGGTTTCTGGAAAGAAACAGGATAACAAAATTAACAAATGATTAATTATAGAGCTAAAATAGTAATTGCTTTTATTTAAAAAAAAAAATGATTTAGATTACCGTAAATACTGACCTGTAACACCAGGCGTAGTGTTAGGGTTACATTTTCGAGGTCGCCCAGGTTTTCGCTTCTTATTTACAGACGAGGAACTTTCAGGTGTGGAATCCGATTCAGATTCTAAAGTAATGAATGCATGTTTGTTAATTGAAACAAACATTAGCATGTAAAGAAGCAAGACGTATGAAAAGAAAAGAGCATTTATCTTATTTTTATTGATTGCAGAAATAAGAGAGTGAAGTATTTACAATTAATCATTATCATTCAAATTTCCTGAATAGTGATGTATTGTGCTTGCTAGTAACTGTGTTAGTTATTTGTAAAATATATAGCGATGTCATAACTCTATATGCATGCTATAGTTCCAACAGAATAATAACAACTCAATCAATTCTATGTGGTTAAGTAAAAGATTAATGAATTTTGTAAATATAGACATTACTAATATAAGTTAGTGACAGGGAAAGACAGCTAATGACGATAGAGGTTGATATGCTACCTCGTTTTACGGCAGGCGTGGTAGTATTCGTACTGGGACAAGCAGTGTTAACTTCTTTACTATCTGATGCAGGCATTTCATTCTTAGGGATGTCAGTGGGGACAGCAATAACATCCGGCTTGAATGACGTAGTACACACACCTTCCTCTCGCTTCTTTTTATGTTTTTTGGCGGGAATGTGCTCGGCTACAGCGCAACTTGCGTATTTTGCAAGCATACCCAGTCCACTGTCGTCTGCTACAGTAGCCAACATACCAAGTCCGCAGTCTTCTTGCCCATGTGTTTTGTCCTCTGTATTTAGAAAAATATGTTTAAACAGTTACATAATGATGTATCATTTGGGTTTCAAAATTGGTCTGATTAAAAACATCAATTCGAATATTTTTTTAAACCCACCTGGATGGGTAAATAATAAATAGAGATACATTTTGTATATAATACAAGTAACACTTAGACATTCAAATTACGAAGGATGTGTTTTATCTTTTCTAAATATCACTAACACAATACCTTTTAACACTTCATCTTAACAATACCGATTAACTATTATATAAGTGAAACCTTTGTCATTCGTTTGTGTATTATTCAAATACGGCAAAACTTACGTTCAGGTTGTTGAAGGGATTTTTTTGGTTTCGTCTGTTTAACCAGTAGCCCACTTGAGAAATTCTCGGATTTTATTTCTGAAATGGTGAATCATATATACTCAATACTTTATACATATTACTTGGAGAGTCATGTTGATAATTTCATAAATAAACATGCATTTTATTCGTTACATTAACATTTTGTATAAAAGCAAATATTTATGTGGGTATTTATGTCATTGAGATGCGTCTACTACAATAGACATACTAGTATTTATGTCATTGAGATGCGTCTACTACAATAGACATACTAGTATTTATGTCATTGAGATACGTCTACTACAATAGATATACTAGTATTTATGTCATTGAGATGCGTCTACTATATTAGACAACGGGCTACAGTAATAACTCAAACAAACTTACTAGGGGTAGCAAAGCTTTCTTTATTTGAAGAAACACTCTTTTTATCAGGGGGTGAAGAAGGTTTCAGGTTACCTGAAAAAAACGTAAGAAATGAAAACATACAGTAAATAATACGTAAGGAAATCTGTATAATCATTAATTTAAATTAACAAAATTATATATCTTAATGGGGTTGGGGATGTGAATGCGCCTGTCATTTATTTGTACTAAAGCATTTACAACCCATGTCAATCGATTATCAGAGAGTCCAGACAACATGACCTAACATTGTCAATCTGTTCTCAAATAGTCTGGACAACAGGTCATAACACGGCCAACCTATTCTCAGATAGTCCGGAAAACAATACATAGCACTGTCAACCTGTTCTCAGATAGTCCGGACAACAGGTCATAACTCGGTCAACCTTTTTCTCAGATAGTCCGGAAAACAAGACATAGCACTGTCAACCTGTTCTCAGATAGTCCGGACAACACGACATAACACTGACAACCTATTCTCAGATAGTCCGGACAACAGGACATGCCACTGTCAACCTATTCTCAGATAGTCCGAACAATAGGACATAACACTGTCAACCTGTTCCCAGATGGTCCGGACAACAGGACATAACATTGTCAACCAGTTCTCAGATAGTCCGGACAGCACGACATAACACTGTCAACCTATACTCAGATAGTCCGGACAACACGACATAACACTGTCATCCTATTCTCAGATAGTACGGACAACAGGACATAACACTGTCAACCTGTTTTCAGATAGTCGGGACAACAGGACATAACACTGGCAACCTATTTCCAGATAGTCCGGACAACAGGACATAAAACTGTCAACCTATTCTCAGATAGTACGGACCACAGGACAAAACACTGTCAACCTGTTCTCAGATAGTCCGAACAACAGGCCATAAAACTGTCAACCTATTCTCAGATAGTACGGACCACAGGACAAAACACTGTCAACCTGTTCTCAGATAGTCCGAACAACAGGCCATAAAACTGTCAACCTATTCTCAGATAGTACGGACAACAGAACATAACACTGTCAACCTGTTCTGAGATAGACCGGACAACACGACATAACACTGTCAACCTATACTCAGATAGTCCGGACAACACGACATAACACTGTCATCCTATTCTCAGATAGTACGGACAACAGGACAAAACACTGTCAACATGTTCTCAGATAGTCCCAACAACAGGACATAACACTGTCAACCTATTTCAAGATAGTCCGGACAACAGGACATAACACTGTAAACCAGTTCTCAGATAGTCCGGACAACACGACACAACACTGTCAACCTATTCTCAGATAGTCCGGACAATAGGACATAACACTGTCAACCTGTTCCCAGATGGTCCGGACAACAGGACATAACACTGTAAACCAGTTCTCAGATAGTCCGGACAACAGGACATTACACTGTCAACCTGTTCCCAGATGGTCCGGACAACAGGACATAACACTGTAAACCAGTTCTCAGATAGTCCGGACAACAGGACATAGCACTGTCAACCTGTTCTGAGATAGTCCGGACAACACGACATAACACTGACAACCTATTCTCAGATAGTCCGGACAACAGAGCATAACACTGTCAACCTGTTCTGAGATAGACCGGACAACACGACATAACACTGTCAACCTATACTCAGATAGTCCGGACAACACGACATAACACTGACAACCTATTCTCAGATAGTCCGGACAACACGACATAACCCTGTCACCCTATTCTCAGATAGTCCGGACAACACGAGATAACACTGTCAACCTATTCTCAGATAGTACGGACAACAGAACATAACACTGTCAACCTGTTCTGAGATAGTCGGGACAACAGGACATAACACTGTCGACCTATTTCCAGATAGTCCGGACAACAGGACATAAAACTGTCAACCTATTCTCAGATAGTACGGACCACAGGACAAAACACTGTCAACCTGTTCTCAGATAGTCCGAACAACAGGACATAAAACTGTCAACCTATTCTCAGATAGTACGGACAACAGGACATAACACTGTCAACCTGTTCTGAGATAGTCCGGACAACAGGACATAACACTGTCAACCAGTTTTCAGATAGTCGGGACAACAGGACATAACACTGTCAACCTATTTCCAGATAGTCCGGACAACAGGACATAACACTGTCAACCTATTCTCAGATAGTACGGACAACAGGACATAACACTGTCAACCTATTCTCAGATAGTCCGGACAACAGGACATAACACTGTCAACCTGTTCCCAGATAGTCCGGACAACACGACATAACACTGTCAACCTATTCTCAGATAGTACGGACAACAGGACATAACACTGTCAACCTGTTCTCAGATAGTCCGGACAACAGGACATTACACTGTCAACCTGTTCCCAGATGGTCCGGACAACACGACATAACACTGTCAACCTATTCTCAGATAGTACGGACAACAGGACATAACACTGTCAACCTGTTCTCAGATAGTCCGGACAACAGGACATTACACTGTCAACCTGTTCCCAGATGGTCCGGACAACACGACATAACACTGTCAACCTATTCTCAGATAGTACGGACAACAGGACATAACACTGTCAACCTGTTCTCAGATAGTCCGGACAACAGGACATTACACTGTCAACCTGTTCCCAGATGGTCCGGACAACACGACATAACACTGTCAACCTATTCTCAGATAGTACGGACAACAGGACATAACACTGTCAACCTGTTCTCAGATAGTCCGGACAACAGGACATTACACTGTCAACCTGTTCCCAGATGGTCCGGACAACAGGACATAACACTGTCAACCTATTTACCAATGTAAACATGTTCCCAAATATATCGGAAAACACGATATCATGATTATGAAATACTTTATTTAAGTAATACATTATGTAATATATATTCGTTACAAGTACTACCCCTCGCGTTATCAGTCGGGTCAGCGATATGTCAAATTAGTATTGCATCGATTTACCCAGTTTATGAACCATAAGTCTCAAATTGATGAGAGCCTTGTGCCGGCATATTCTACGCACCTTTGCTGATGACGGATGTCTTAGGCTGCGACTCTGGTTTTTTGGCTACAGGTTTTTTTTCGTTCATTTTTATTGAGTCACCTATATAAAATAAATAATTTATGATTAGCCGTTAATAGTGGTTTTCACGTATGTGAATATTATTGTGTTCCTTTCGTAATAAGCAGTATTACATTTATTATAAGTGGTATAACATTTGACATAAACTGTGTGATATTTGTAATAAAATTGTATAACACTTTCCTTTAAGATGTATAAAATTCCAAATATAACCGTATACAATTTCAAATTAAAATATATATAAAGTATTGAATAATCCACGAGGTATACTAAAGGAAAATGCCATGACACTTTAAGTAACGATACATAATATTTGCATTCAGAAAGAAACATTTATATCAATATGATACTTAGACATTGTAATGACCTATGACATATATATGCAGACTTACAAGATTTGCCTCCTCCTGGTAGACTGGATGTGATGCCCTTCCGTTTCACTGTAAACCCTGACTGGGTTTTGAACAAAGCTGCCATGGCATTTGCTTTTAGTTTCTTGCTGAGTGGCATCTGGAGAAGTAAAGAGCAGTGTATTACCATATCATTTACCTGTATCTCTGTTTCTGTAGTAGATATAAGTGTGTAAATGTACTGGGGAGGGTAATATAGCAGTCACATCACCACTCTTAACTGAAGGAAATACAAACTTATCGTCCTTACAGCTGCTCTTCGCAGAAAATATCCGTCCAACAATCGTCCAACTTACCCCAAACCCTCCTCCAGTCTTTCTAAACACCCTGTCAACCAGTTCCTCCGCCTGCTTCTTTTTCTTGACCACGGGTTCCTTAGTTTTTGTCTGATTAGATTTCGGTCTGGTGATATAAACAAAGAGCACGGTCACAGCATTTAAATTGCTATTGTTTTCCTTCTAAATTATCTATTACTTTGTGTGTGACTTACATTGTTTTGAAATAACAATGTTTACTAGTACACTATATATTTAATTGTTTATTTTTATAATATCCGTCGATAAAAGAATACTCCTATCATTGTCTGCATACGTACTGCGCAGGCTCCTGTTTCTGTGCGTCAGGCACTGTTTGATGTTTTCGTTTCCTTGGTCGACCTGGTCCTCGTTTAGAAAGAGCATCACTGTAAACGCCACAACATAACTATATTAATCGCGTATATGCGTATTGAAATATATACATTTGTATACATATACATCACCTTAAAAGGACGTTAATCTGGATTTGAAAGCGTCTAGCATCAAAATGCATATATATTTTCTTCATGTTTTGTTACTACTGTGTGCTTTTATTTAAATGCTAAGATTAAAATTGCAAAGTGTCAAATTCGTGCATTCGGAAACGTCTTGAAATAAATGACAATACGTTTGTAGATCTGTCTGAAAGCTTTGGTGCAAAAAAAGGTGCAGTAAGCGTCCTCCAGTTGTAAGTCTGAGGTAAATTCGGTACACACTGTCGAGTTTGCTAGCGTTCTCATCCACAGAATACTAGCGTTTCATCCCAGAGAGGATTCGTCCATAAAGCCTACATCGGCGATTAAGGACGGAATTGTAGGGGAGATGAAAGTGTCGCACTACTAAGAGTTATGATAGTCTGGATCTATATCACACACACACCAATCAACATTACTTCCATCCTACATTAGATGTCTCATATTTTCACGAAACATTAATTTTTATCAATTGCCAACCATCACATAATTAATTCAATGGTGATGTTTTGATATTTTGTTCAAATACACTGTATATTAGAGTAGAATATAAAATGCTCGAGGCAAGAAACCACGACATCGGGGATTACTCATAGTCGCTACCTACTCATATGATGCGCAATTACACCGTCAACCAAATCATTAGCCTTTTAGAACACGACTGACGATCCGTCCTCAGCAAAAACAATTGTGACCCTATCGTTAACGCTGCATAATAAGAAGCGTTAATATGTCAGTCCAAACACATAGGCTTCTGTATACAGCAGATCTCGTTAGTCCGAACACACAGGCTTCTGTATACAGCAGATCTCGTTAGTCCGAACACACAGGCTTCTGTATACAGCAGAACTCGTTAGTCCGAACACATAGGCTTCTGTATACAGCAGATATCGTTAGTCCGAACACATAGGCTTCTGTATACAGCAAATCTCGTTAGTCCGAACACATAGGCTTCTGTACACAGCAGATCTCGTTAGTCCGAACACATATGCTTCTGTATACAGCAGAACTCGTTAGTACGAACCAAAACCTTGTTAAACCGAACAACTAGGCTTCTGTATATGGTTAAATATAAGTTTGTCTGAACAACCATTCTACTCACTGTATACAGAAGAAATCCCTAGTTCTAACAACTAGGCTACTGCAAACAGCAGAACGTATCAGCCTGAGAAAATAGGCTTCTGTATACAGTAGATCTCGTTAGTCCGAACATATGTGCTTCTGTATGCAGCAGAAATCGTTACTCCGAACAAATTAGGTTCGGTTTTGCCTTTTAGTAAACTGACAATACCGAGGAGCAGTTTTAAACAGTGTGTACTCAACTGAAATATCACTTGTTTTTTCTTTCACATTTTTTTAGCTATTCAACAAATTATTATTCTTCTTGTGTTTACATTAACTACAATATTCTTACTCTTATTTGTTTTGAATTTATTTTCGTGTGAATTGAACAACACTTACTCTGTTTCCCTTTTAGGGTGAAGTCTTGCTAGCTGCCGTTGCTTTTCTTTATACAGTCGCTGGAGTTCAGCCAATCGAATGCGCATGTCCAGTTCGATGGCATTGATTTCCTCTTCCCCTATATCAAGAAAAGCAGTAAGGTCTGTTTCCTTGAGTTGTAATGCGAATGGACACAACGACAGAGAAAGACCGAAAAAGTACACATCGAAATTCTGATAAAGAATATTGCAACATTCATACAACAACTTCTCTATTAAACATTTTACAGTAAACAATACTGTCTTCGTATTATATAGTTATTAAATGCACGTGAAATAAATATCAAGAAACTGCGGTAACAGTAGTAAAATGTCTGAACTTAATTATGCTTTTCTTTTTACTTTGTCGTAATATATAGGGTTTAGCAGTCGAATCAAATTTTTCATCTTAACATAGAAAGATATTCGGGTAAGTATTGCATCTTCATCTTTGTTTTCCATTTACATGCATCCCTAGTATTTACTATATAGATGTGTCTCTAGGGGTTTTGGTAGAGGTGTATCTGGAATTCTGGTATTTACATGTACCCCTAGTATTGACTATATAGATGTATCTCTGGTGTTTTTGGTATTTACATGTACCCCTAGTATTTACTATATAGATGTATCTCTGGTGTTTTTGGTATTTACATGTATATTCAGGGTTTTAGTTGATTACATGTATATTTAGGGTTTTTGGTATTTACATGTATATTCAGTTTTTTTTTTGTATTTACATGTATATTCAGGGGTTTTGGTATTTACATGTTTATTCAGAGTTTTTGGTATTTACATGTATATTCAGGGTATTTACATGTATCTCTAGGGTTTTTGATATTTACATGTATATTCAGCGTTTTTGGTATTTACATGTATCTCTAGGGTTTTTCGTATTCACACGATATTCAGGGTTTTTGGTATTTACATGTATATTCAGGGGTTTTGGTATTTACATGTTTATTCAGAGTTTTTGGTATTTACATGTATATTCAGGGTATTTACATGTATCTCTAGGGTTTTTGATATTTACATGTATATTCAGCGTTTTTGGTATTTACATGTATCTCTAGGGTTTTAGGTATTTACATGTATCTCTAGGGTTTTTCGTATTTACACGATATTCAGGGTTTTTGGTATTTACATGTATATTCAGGGGTTTTGGTATTTACATGTTTATTCAGAGTTTTTGGTATTTACATGTATATTCAGGGTATTTACATGTATCTCTAGGGTTTTTGGTATTTTCATGTATCTCTAGGGGTTTTGGTATTTACATGTATCTCTAAGGGTTTTGGTATTTACATGTATCTTTAGGATTTTTGGTATTTACATGTACAGTATCTCTAGGGGTTTTGGTATATACACGATATTCAGGGATTTCGGTATTTACATGTATCTCTAGGGTTTTTGGTATTTACATGTATCTCTAGGGGTTTTGGTATTTACATGTATCTTTAGGATTTTTGGTATTTGCATGTACAGTATCTCTAGGGGTTTTGGTATTTACACGATATTCAGGGATTTCGGTATTTACATGTATCTCTAGGGTTTTTGGTATTTACACGATATTCAGGGTTTTTGGTATTTACATGTATCTCTAGGGTTTTTGGTATTTTCATGTATCTCTAGGGGTTTTGGTATTTACATGTATCTCTAAGGGTTTTGGTATTTACATGTATCTTTAGGATTTTTGGTATTTACATGTACAGTATCTCTAGGGTTTTTGGTATTTACATGTATCTCTAGGGGTTTTGGTATTTACATGTATCTTTAGGATTTTTGGTATTTACATGTACAGTATCTCTAGGGGTTTTGGTATTTACACGATATTCAGGGATTTCGGTATTTACATGTATCTCTAGGGTTTTTGGTATTTACATGTATCTCTAGGGGTTTTGGTATTTACACGATATTGAGGGATTTTGGTATTTACATGTATCTCTAGGGTTTTTGGTATTTACATGTATCTCTAGGGGTTTTGGTATTTACATGTATATTCAGGGTCGAACTGTTTACATGGATATTTTATGTTTGCTATGAAGATGTATTCTAAGTAGTAATAGTATTTTCCTATTCTCCTGCATTTAGGTATTTATATCTATCCTTTGTATTTGTTTGGTTGCATTCCTTGCATTTTGTTATTATGATGTTTCTTCTTGTTAAGATGTATCTACAGTGTTTTGTTAAGATGTATCTACAGTGTTTTGTTAAGATGTATCTACAGTGTTTTGTTAAGATGTATCTACAGTGTTTTGTTTTTTGAATGTGTCTAAGATTATTGGTTTTAAGATCTGTATTAAAAGTTTTGATTTTCAGAAGTGTTTCGAGAAAAGCGTTATATGTATGTATTTGTAGACATTCTTCTTATATCTGGATTTTAGATTTATCTCCAGTGTTTTGTTTTTCTGATGCATAAGTAGTATTTTGTAATTTGAAAGTATCTCTAGTATTTTAATAGTTTATATTTCCACAGGACCCATGTCCAAAAGGAATCTTGATGATAAACGAGATTATCACGATAAAAATCAACGAAAGTTCAAAACTATTTCAGCAGTATTCCTAAATTTCAGTTTCAGTGTTTTAACAATTGGGAGAGACCAACGTTTAGGTAACTTGGTGTGAGAATGCTAAAAATTCCTTATGTTTAGGAATACTTGAGAAATTAGATTCCAGTGACGTCTACATATGAACACAATGTACATTACAATTCGTTGTAAAACATAAAGCATTTCCTAGTTAACCTTATTAGAACAGGATACTTAATAACTTCACCATATTGTAGAGTGTTTGTTCTAAATCGATTCTCGGTCTAAACTACATTGACCTATATTTTCCCTGATTTCTACAAAAACAATGTAATTACTTTGCTAAGGAACACCTTTTATTCTCACTTTTTTTATTTTTTTTATATTTTTTTTATCTATGATGGGGTTGTCGTATCCGAACAGAAGCTGAAACACAACTGTAATTCACGTTTGCCTGTTCATGCCATTGCAATGTATACCACAAAACCATGATATGATACATAATTACCCCGATTGCATTAACCTAATAAGTAAAGATAGTGTAGTCTTTTGCCAGCGAAAAGTTCTCCAATAACTTGTGTTTCCGAGATCTATCACGTTTAAATCGAACTAGTTTGGTTTGCTCTTGATGTTTATCAGGTTAAATTCCAGCTAGCGTGGTAACTGATAGAGCAGGGTGTGTGTGTGTGTGTGACCTAATCAATAAGAAGCAGTTCTGTACTGTAGCTATAGGGCAGTAGGCTGTCCCGCTATCGCAGACATTTTTACAGGCCTGACAACCTCCCCTGGATAAAAATGTTATAGCTTCACTGAAATTTCCCTGTTTCATTTCCAAACTTCCTTCTTTATGTTTTATGCCGCTTACATTATTTTGATATAATATGTCTAACAAAAGATTTTTTCAAGTTTTTAATATGATTACCTTGTGGAATTTTGAGTCCTGTTGAAGTATAGTAACTTGCTGGTTCTGATTTTTGGTCGCTTTTAGCAGGTATCGACCGCGTCCGACTGAGTGGTCTCTTCCTTGACTGTTTTGGTGTATCCGAATTACTGCGTTGAACACTTGGTTTTGGTTTCTCCTGTGTTGATACCTTCTTTTCAGCCTTTTCTGTCTCCTTGGCCACCTTTTTATCAATGGTATCCTCTGTGTCTTTAGATATCTTAGAAGCATCAGGTATTTTTGTCGTTTTTGGCCCCGATGTCTCCTTTGTCACTTTAATGTCTTCAGGGGCCTGGGGAGATACCTCGATACCTTCACTAGGGGGAGCAACTGGCGTCTCCAAAGTCACACACTTTGCTCGTATTTCTGCGAGCGTGCTGAGAAGTTCTAATCCGTCAGCTGCCTGGAGAATCTGGGGGTCTAGGAATGGATTATAATCACGATGACTCTGATTAGTTTCGTTCTGTTTCACACAAATTACATCACCGGGAGGTTCCTTAGTTTCAGAACGTTCACTAACACTTTTAACATCCTCGTCAACGGCGACTGACGTCACTGACGTTGATGGTGTTACAACACGTTTTGTGTCAAGTTTACACTCGGGAGTTCCATCTTTCGACAGACATTGCTCCTTTTCTGATTTAGTATGAATTTCACTTTCTAATGGTTGGATGGGCGTGTCACATGATTCTGTCTTTGACTCGTCAACAGAATTTGACACAGATTTGTCTTTGGTTATTGAACAGGTGACAGACGTCACCAGCCCCGTAGAAGATGACGCGTTTGTCGTACACGTCTGTACTGACGCAATACTTTGGGAAACATTTGCAATGTTCATTACAATGTCACACATAGATTGTGTTGTAGATGGCGCTGCATCTATCACTTCCTGTGAAGTATCGTCAATCTCACTTGCAGGAACCATGGGCGAAGTCCCTCGTGATTGCACCGTTGACGTTTCTGTTTTAACAGCGTCCTGTATGGGGATAGCAGGGACCAGTGAAGGGCTATAGACTAGTGGTAAGGCGGGGTACTGGTAAGACAGTGACTGTCCATTGTGTAGAGTAAGGTCTGCAAAGACAAACAAATCATGGTACATAAAGAAAAGAAAAGAATTGTAATAAGAATGTATTGTTTTTTTAAATAATATTATAACATGAAAGTCCAAATTTCACAAATCAGTTAGTTAAGGTATATAGACGATGGCACAAAACAGTTATATTGTCTCGAAACATTAGATGAAATATTTGGTATTTCTTTTTTCATTTCACTGATCACGGTACCTTGAATTGGTGGGTGGGGAACCACTGCTGCTGGTTTGCCGGTGTGATCGGCGTCTGTGGACGGACAGGGAGCTTTGCTGGAACTATGGATTTCTTTTGAAGTCGTATTTTCGAATGATTTTGAGTGGTCAATGATTGAAGCTTGACCTGATGGTGGTGCACATGTCTCTGTCGTCCCAGTTTCTGGACGTGACTGATACTGCAAAAACATACAGCAATCACATAAACGACACGAAGTCAAGATGTGGCGTTTCACCTGTGTGATGTATACACCCAATGACAGAAAGAAAATTGGAAAAGCATTTGATATGTTGCGGACGAAATACTCCCACCTTCCGTATTAACAGTATTTCCATATAACGGGTTGTTTTTTCATTAATTTTAACGTGAATTTATCGTAAAATGGGACAAAACGACACCATCGATCAGCAATGGGCGTCTTTGCCAATCCTATCCTATGTGTTTAGGTATTTTTGAATGATTCTAAGCTGCACAATCACATAGAAACAAGGGATAATTAAAATGTCTATTTTGACTCACAATATGCTGTAGTTGCTGTTGGTACTGCTGCACCGCCAGGGCAAAGTCTGTGGTAGGCTGTCGGTCCCCTGGATGCCCTATGACTTGGTGCTGGATCTGGTTCTGTTGATGCACTGCCATGATCTGTTGGAATGTATTTGGGTGGGTCGTACTGGGGAAACCACCCGGCCACATCCTACTGGGGTCATACATTTCTGTAATACAGATAAGTGTGATACAAACCCGTTGACATCAGGTGTATTTCCGATTATTTAATACTGATCTAATACTAAACATTTTCCTACACCGTGTATGCTTTACACATTTTACAATAACTTGGCTTTGCAATATTCATTCAAGAAAACATTCTTACAAACGTTTGAAACATCCATTGCTAGTGACTTGATATAAGAAGAAAGAGAGGAATTTGACTAGTTTATTATTATTTTCAAACGCAGAGAATTAAGATATGTATCTCCGTTTCTACCTATATTTGACGCTGGCATGATAATCAGATGCCCGGTGACCGAGTCCTGGACCAGTTTGTAGCCCGGGGGAACGGACACTGGTAGTTGACTTGGATCTGTCGTGCCAGAGGTTGTGGGAATGTTCGGTGGAAGTGTGAAGGGCATCTGCCCAATCCAAGAAGCTGGGTTCATGCCATGACCCGTTTGTAACCACGGGCTCGGGAAATGACGTGCGGCCGGGTCGTCCGACCATGCGATGCCAGCCCCAGTCGCTGAACCTTCACACGTAACATAGGTTTTACACATAAAAACAGGAATGTGAATATACCGGGTTTATTTCGATTGAATTGATCAATTTATTTTTGACTATTATTTTTTTTAAACCCACCTGTAACAATGAGATTTGCCGGAAGCGTGTTGCGCATGTCCGGACCTGGCGCATTTGGGGATGTTGATTTTGATATGATAGGTCCAGCGAAGGCGCTCGGTTGTCTGAAATAAAAATTACCACCGTAAAAACGTGTTTCAATGTGTAAGCCATCAAAGCAACATTCGTGTGAATATTTCCTTGAAAAGAAAATGAAGTTATTGTCAACATGTCTCTCTTGTTTTATGTTTCTCTTGCTTGGTAATGTTCAAAAACAATCGACGATATAAACCTTACCCATCGCCTCTGTGATGGACCGCCGTGATAGGGTGTGACTCCCCGTCCCCTGGGCTCCTACGAACATCACCGGGGTTCCTGCCGAGGTCTGGGGTAGGGTCGGTATCTGGCTCTACGTTGGAGAGAGTAGGATAGACACGTATACTAAGGCACATACAAATCTGTTCATCTATTAACAGGTTTAAGTATTGCGGTTTTACTAATTTTGGAGAACGATTATGCTCAAGTAGTCCTTAGTGCCAACAGATAGTGATTTAACCCAAACAAATCTGATTAGTATTCTGAATAAAAAGTATCATGGGAATTTGCGTCATAAGATTACGATTTCCTGTTAAAACTATTGATGACGCCATCCCCATGAAATCATCGGTTAACTGGTTAGGGCGCGGTTTACTCTACTCCACACATACATCTAGTCCGATTCCCAAGTAACAGTAGATTCAATATCATTAACAGGCTACACATTGATATTAGTGGCTTATCAAAGCATGTTGGAATAGGTTGTTGTGTAGATCCGTACATTGTATAATTGATTTATCAATAGAAAGTGAAAGAGGGGACGATTTTCTATTTATTTATTTATTTTTATTTTAGGGGTTGGGGTTGGAAGGGTTGACCAATAAAATAGTATTGTACTGTATTGCTTCTTCTGTAATTAGTAAATATATATCTAGTTCAGGACTACAAATGTGGAGATTATCACTAAAGCATGAATGATCTCCCAGCGTTTAACTCTTTTCGGTTAACAGCCATCATATATTTCTTGCTGTTTGTTATATTCAGAAATATTCAAGACATTCGGTATCCTATTCCAGAAATTTTAGGATACCTTAAAACTCAAATTTGTTTCCGGGTTCTATTCATGTTATTGTTACCACTTTGAACACATTAAGCTTACAGGAGAATTCTACAGAAAGTCTATCTTCATTTTAATGAGAATATCAAAATAACCAAGATAGGACGATATAGAGATCAAGGGTTTAATTGTAATTGTGTTTAAAATTCTGTTTATATCATCGTACTACTCGAGTATAGACAGTTATTCATGGAAGTTATTTTGTAGTCAAATTGGGTAATCAAAATAAAAAATAGAAATGAACAATATTTAAATACAAAACATGATTTCATGCTTAATTTATCTTACGTTCTACTGTTAAAAATATCTCAACACATCAATACACCAAATTTGAAGACTATTCTACACCCGGAATGAATTTCAGAAAAGAAAACGAAATCACAGTTAAAAACTTTTAAGTAGGGATAACAATGTCGTTCAAATGTTACTACAGTAACTTTTAAAATATCGCTGTATCTAATATTTCAGGTAAATATTTCAACTATATGTTTTAGATTTCGTTTATCTATGTCTCGTGTTGATCTCTGTTGAGTGATTTAAACATGTGATTGGGTCAAATGTTTGCATACAATTCATCAAATAAGTGACCCATTTCACTGTGTCATACGGCCATGTCATAAATATTGTAATACACAAGTGTAATAAATAAGGTATGTAACCTAAATGTGCTATTTTTGGTCAAAACCATGGTTACATATTCCTACGCCACCAATACAAGTACAACTTTAATTTAACTTCATTTTCTTTCTGATATATGTTAATGGTGGTTTTTTTTACTTTTCGATGAAATCAATTATTTTGTCATTATTATCTTTATTGCATTTATTTGTTCATCAGTTAAAAAGCAAAATGAAAATCTGGAACTACTTTGCATCGTCGAAATGAAAACACTATGATCGGAGTACTTCGGTTTTGACCTATATAGAGTCAGCTGATAAAAAACATTTGTGTTCGATGTTTGTTTTATCAAATTATCAATGTTATGTGATTAAGAAAATCTAACAGTCGTGTCCATGTCATATTGAGCTTATTAAACTCGTTCAATCATATGATATGACACTCGCCTAAATGCTCGTGTCATATCAAATCAATGAACTTGTTAAATACATTTAATATGACATGGACACCCATGTAAGATCCTCTATTAATAGCATCAATACGAACTTTATAAACAAAAGGGAAATAGGATGTAGTGATGAGTTGTTTTCATGGGGAATCCTTGTTACTCGTACTCAATTCTATAAATAAACATTTAGCTCATTATTTTATAAAAATATCGTTATTAACGAAGTATTAATCAAATGTTCTAGTTTTGTATTATCTATATTTCTTTTTTTGTTTTATTTTGTAATTACGTTGATTTACAAATAATACATATCATTATTCTACCTCATATGATTTCAAATTTAATTTCACAGAAATTGGAATTTTTGTCAATATTGACGAGATTCAACTTTCAAAGGAAAATGTCGTTGACACAAATGGAACATTTTGCGGTTAATTTTTCATTCAAACCTTGCTATTATTAAAATTGTAGAGAGTGGCACTTGAAATGGTATATGTGTTATGAGTTATGCGCCTTTATGTCAGATACAGCCACGGGTAATAATACCCCGCGTGTTTTATCATCAATGGAGGGGTGGGGGCACCACACACTGGTGCGTGTTTGTCACTACTACAATGGCGCAAGCAGTAAGCACACGGTAGATCGATATTGACCTCATGCATATGTGAATTTTAACCGCCTATTTTAAAATCTGATAATAACATATGCATTCCAATAGGTTGTGCGACGATTTCAATAAGTAAACGGACTTTAACAATCGTTTTTTACTGGACATTTTCCATAACAACATGGCAGTATGGTGGTGAGATTGTGTTATATACTAGGTCACATGTGCATGTAGACAAGTACGTGTGAGTATGTATTAGTCAGGCGCCGGGCTAGCTTATTCATCCATTATTTACAGTTTAATATACAACGTGTACATAGACATAAACAAACATCATTGACAAAACCAGTGCAAATATTGTTGTATCAATATCCATGAATATATATCTAAAAGCTAACAAACATCAAAATGGACCCGGAACAGCTCTCGATATTATGTAGGCGCTATATGCATGCGAACAATCAACCACAGTGAGACACGACAAACAAGAACTGATATATAGAATATAGATAAACAATCAATAGACTGTTATATCGCTAACATTGTAAATAAACGTTTGCCATAACGATACATATTCTGTTTTGTCGTTCTCTTTAAATCTGGTTCAGAGGCTGTTATTTACGTTGATAAACACCCAACTACGCATGTGCGGCCATACATTAGGCCTCCCCTCTCTCCACTGTTACAAGAATTTCGCTAAGCCTCGAACTTACCGATGTTCTCCTCTTTGAACTCCTCCCTTTTCTGTGCCACGGCTATTCCGATAGGTATGTTCATTCCTGCGAAGAAAGGAAGGATAAATGGACGAGTTAGGGAGGAAAGTAGACCGCTCCATATGTACGTATTTTTGTAAGTAATAGCGAGCGTCCTTCACCTTGCTTCACCAGCACCAGGCCGAGAGGGAGAGAGTATTGATCTTCTACAATGTTTAGCATAACTCATACTGTCAGCCGATTCGACCCGGTGACGCAGTTTTAGCAGATTTACACAAAAAAATCGCAAGGAATTGAATGTTAATAAAAGGGAGTTGTGATCACCCTAGGGTCAATAAATACACGTTTACAAATCACGTCGAATAGCTTCGATGTAATTGGTTCAGCTGTTTCCCATTGCATACTGTATTACGGTGTCACTTCATAACGTAGTATTCCACACACATGCCCACACAGGGACAAAACATAACATTTAAACGGTTCGTATTTGTTAACAATTCCTGTAAAAGTGAGAGTGACACAAACGTTACATTTCCATACACGCTCTCACATTAACAAATTAAACAACATACCCATTTTACTTACTTGTTATTTAATCATTTTAAAGCAAACAAACCAAATATGTAAATAAGCTGAGAGATTGATTTTTTCTTTGGTAATATGAATGTGCGCATTGCTTTAATAAACGGTTATAATTTTTCATGAGCAGTCATAAATATTCATCTCTATTAAGCTGAACCCGTTTGCCCATAGGGGACAGTCACAGAATCGATCACACTTTCTACAAGAATATTTTGTATCAAATTAATTAGAATATGTTAACCCATTTTTTTTTTAAATTTACCTTTAGTTTCCTCCAATTCGACAATAAGTGGGTCAACAATCACTAAAGCTACAGAGTAAGGAAACACACACTTAGTAGGTCGATGTGTGAGCCAAACAAAGTAAACATTTACTGCACCTTCTGGAAAGGATTTCGTCCACTTAGAATTTATCAGTGCCACTACATAATATAATAATAAAACTCCATGTCTACTGTGTCCAAAATATAGAAATAGAACAAAAGGGCAAATTACTTATGAAACACTTTATAAATTTACAAGTGTACAGTTTTGTATTACAACATAAAATATTGATTTCAGTCTGCTTTCAACAGAACAGGGCTGGCTAACCTGCCTTCATCAGGAAACAGGGGATCAACCTTCCTACCTTCACTAAGCTACAGAAGGTACACCGGCATTAAACGTTGCAAGTAAAATTTGTTTTAAATGTCATAAACAACAGTGAAAATGGTTTGAAACCGGGAAAAATAGATTTACTTTTTACTTCTCCCTTAAACAAGTCAAAATGGATTTCTTGTTCAAAAATAAATCCAAATCAGCACACTTGCCTTTAACAAGCGTAAGTTTGTAGACATAACCGTCTCGTAAGCCGTAATAATAGGCTGGGCAGTATAATGTTGAAGATAACACTATAACATCTCTCAGATCTTATTTTCATCTCACGCAGTAGACTGTATGCCACAATCGGTAAACCCACAAGTAGTTGCAGCTAGACCTTTCGATGGATTTACCTGACTTAGACAAACGACATTGTTCTTCATGCCCTCATTGCGTCGTGTGTGCATCAAACACCCTATGTTTAAGAATTCGACAAGCTATACATTTTCATATCTACTGTTCTCCGTTCAGTACATTATGAGTTGCGTTATATTCTAAATAAAACATAAAAACATATATTTACCTAATGAGGAAGAGCTATCATCCTTTCCGTGACTATCACACTTTCGTCGGGACTCCCGGGAACGCAAACTTTTCTCGTGAAGTTTAGATTTGATATCCTTGGTCGATTTACAGTGTTGGACACTTCGGGCTAACGGTTTCACTGCACTCTCGGTTTTCGGGTTATTACGAGTCCTTGTGCTGTCCTCTGATGTAAGCCACTGTGGTTGGACTTTCACGCACGTAACTGGGGCTTCGTTATCGCGACAGGCAGTCTTAGGTGGATCAACCATTCCTGGGGATGGTGTGCCATCGCACATGGCACGTTTGGACCCTGTCACCTCCGCAGTTGCAGCAAGACCTTTCATTGTTATCTTTGTGTCGTCAGAAATGGGAGTTTTAACAGACCCCTCTGTCGTGGCCCGGATCGGAACCACATGCTGTTCTTTGGTTGTCATTGGTTTCACTTTTTCCGCAGCCTTCTCAAGAACTTGTACAGAATTTGAAACATTCTCAGGTTTTGTTACGACAACCTGTTTTGTCTGTATTACCGGGGATACACTAGACTGGGACGAACCACTAGCATTTACTGGGGATCGAGAATTTTTGTCTCCAACCTCAAACACCTTGGGTGTCTTTTTGGACTTAGCATCCCTTCCGTCGGAGCTTTTTCTGGACTGTCGAGTGGTCTCCCTTTTGTCATGACCGGGTTTTGAGGGAGACACACAGGGTTGGTGAGTAACGGCACACGGAGACACACTTGTAGCACATTTGTCCTTACAGCAGGAATACGAACCTCTTTCCTTCTTAATTGTCATATCGCACGCGGTTGTTTGAACAGGCATTGTTGTCATGGCAACCACACTAGGTAGCGTTCCTATTTCCGGTGTAAAGGTTGGTGCATGCACTTTCTTCCCATCGGGAATACTTGGTTGTGAATGCGAATATATTGAATGATAATATGGCAGAGAAAATGTCGTTGATGTGATCGCGTCACTTGTTACGGGTACTGCACTGGATTCCGGGGAAAGACCTATAAAGGGAATATATAAGTGATGCCCATTTATTAATGAAAATGTCAACACTACCTTCACTTTCGAATTTATAGTTTATTTATATTTTACTGGCAAAAACACCGGACATGTTTAATATAGACACTTAAAATTTTTCCATCCATGTTTCTTTCATTGCGTAGGATGAATAAGACTTTAACATACATCTATATCCTTAGATTTTTACAGTATATGGTGAATTATTGTTAAACACATTAAAACAATCTTTTTTTTTTTAAACGGCTTGATATATAAAAATAATATAAATATGATTAAAAACAATGCTTACCGCCTCTGTTGAGTGGCGGGGCAACCATACCGACGGACTTCGGGCTTAATTGTGGCGATGTCACACTTTGATCAGAAGTCATAGTGACAGTTGTAAGGGTAGGTACCACCTTTTCTTTGCACTCTTTTTCGCCCTCATGACTGTTTTTACACGTAAGCGACTCGACTTTACCGTCCGATTTGTTAATTGTCTCTGACTTATCACTTTCCTTATCACAGGCAGGAAGAACAATCTCTTTTCTAGAACGTGACGGAGAAATATCTTGATCATGTTTGCGTTTGTCCACATGAGCGCGTGTGGGCGACGTAGAATTTGATTTAGCTTTCACGTGAGGCTGACTATTTGCTGACAACGACGTTGGCACGACCACCTCTTTGTTGTTGTCGTGTTGTTTAGAACAAGCCTTAGTGTGTTCCTGCTTCACCTCACCGAGCCTGTCCGACTTTTCCGGATATTTCTTTGAATCGCTCTTTTTATCGGGGTCCTTTGAATGTTTTGAATTGATTAACGTCTTTTGTGATTCGACTGACTTCGTTACGTGTTTGCTTTCTGATGACCTTTTGGTGTCGCCATGGCGACCCGACTCTTTTTTGACGGCTAGATTTCCGGAATGTGTGAGCGATTCCGAGGCACGGGTTGATGGAGGAGAGACGCCGGAAGTAGGTTGATACAGGGGCGGCCCTCCTGGAACGTGAGGCGTGCCGTTGTATAGTGCTTCTGAAAGAAAAAAATAGTTCATTAGATCAATGTTTGAGAACACAAGACAGTCGGATGAATAATATACCACAGACAGTACGTTATTTTACCGAAGCAAGTCCACACTATTTAAGAAAGGGTAGAACTGTTTTCTATAGAACTAGGGTCGGTAATACCATGCTCTGCAGAACTATGCATAGACTACTGCATAAATGATAATGCTGTTTTATTATTAACCCGGTCTAGACTACTACAGAAAGTTCTATAATGCTTTCTACAGACTAGGTCTACACTCCTATAAAAGGGATACTACTGAGTTCCAGGGAGGTAAGTACCGAGTTCTTGAGAACCACAGAATGTAGCTCTTGGCTCTACAGAACTAGGTCGTGACAACTGCAGCGAGGGTAGAAACATATTCTACAGAACTAAGTGTAGACTACTACAGAGAGGGTAGTAATGTGTTCTACAGAACTAGGTGTAGACTACTACAGAGAGGGTAGTAATGTGTTCTACAGAACTATGTCTAGACAACTACAGAGAAGGTAGTACTGTGTTCTATTAAACTAGGTCTAGACTACTACAGAAAGGGTAGAAATGTGTTTTACAGATCCGGTCAAGACTACTACAAGGAGGGTAGTATTATGTTCTATAGAACTAGATCTAGACTGCTACAGAGAGGGAAGTACAGTGTTCTACAGAACTAGATTAAGACTGCTACAGAGAGTGTAGTATTATGTTCTACAGAACTTGATCTAGACTGCTACAGAGAGGGTAGTATTATGTTCAATAGAACTAGATCTAGACTGCTACAGAGAGGGTAGTATTATGTTCAATAGAACTAGATTTAGACTGCTACGGAGAGGGTAATATTATGTTCTACAGAACTAGATCTAGACTGCTACAGAGAGGGTAGTATTATGTTCAATAGAACTAGATTTAGACTTCTACGGAGAGGGTAATATTATGTTCTACAGAACTAGATCTAGACAACTGCAGAGAGTGTAGTATTATGTTCTGCAGAACTAGATCTAGACTGCTACTGAGAGTGTAGTATTATGTTCTACAGAACTTGATCTAGTCTGCAACAGAGAGGGTAGTATTATGTTCAATAAAACTAGATTTAGACTGCTACGGAGAGGGTAGTATTATGTTCTACAGAACTTGATCTAGTCTGCAACAGAGAGGGTAGTATTATGTTCAATAGAACTAGATTTAGACTGCTACGGAGAGGGTAATAATATGTTCTACAGAACTAGATCTAGACAACTGCAGAGAGTGTAGTATTATGTTCTGCAGAACTAGATCTAGACTGCTACTGAGAGTGTAGTATTATGTTCTACAGAACTTGATCTAGACTGCTACAGAGATGGGAGCATTATGTTCAATAGAACTAGATTTAGACTGCTACGGAGAGGGTAGTATTATGTTCTACAGAACTAGATCTAGACTGCTTCAGAGAGGGAAGTACAGTGTTCTATAGAAATAGATCTGCAGTTGTTTATACCTTGTTCTATAGAACACTGTACTTCCCTCTCCGTAGCAGTCTAGATCTAGTTCTATAGGACACTGTACTTCCCTCTCTGTAACAGTCTATATCTAGTTCTATAGAACACTGTACTACACTCTCTGTAGCAGTCTAGATCTAGTTCTTTAGAACATAATATTACCCTCTCCGTAGCAGTCTAAATCTAGTTTTATTGAACATAATACTACCCTCTCTTTAGCAGTCTAGATCTAGTTCTGTAGAACATATTATTACCCTCTCCGTAGCAGTCTAAATCTAGTTCTATTGAGCATAATACTACCCTCTCTGTAGCAGTCTAGATCAAGTTCTGTAGAACATAATACTACACTCTCTGTAGCAGTCTAGATCTAGTTCTGTAGAACTGTATCAGTAGTAAGATGGTGTGGGTGCTAATAATGTGTCCAACATATTTGTTAGTTCGGGTCATTACAATTAAAGTTATGAGAGATCGCGTGTTGACAGTATGAAAGCCATGACAGGCTGCACTCGACTGGTACATATGTTTAATCTAAAGTGATGAAGAAACGTCGATTCGTTGTCCGTCTTCATGCGGTCTTGACTGAGGTTTCAGTGGTTAGACTCTAACAGTATTCTTGATCAATGTCGTCTAAAAGAGCTAAGAACACATATATGTGCGTGTTCTACATGTGCCAAAGATCAATTAATAGTTTACATCGCATTAATGTGCGAAAGGGGCAAAGTTTGTTCAATTTTGTATCTATATAAAGAGAAGGATCCCCGGAAAAGTGTTTTTTTTTTATAATCAGTACGTATGTACACGATACATGTAACTGTGCATGATAACAGCTATATGATACAATGTAACTCATTTTTAGCGTTCTGAATATATTACCATATTACGTTTATCCTTTTTTGATAGAGGAAATTGTCCCTAATCTTTTAAAATATTCAGGGTGATAATTTGACTTGTATTTTTTATTAGTTGTTAAAAAGGCATGATTGTTTGATCTGTAACTAATTACCAGCTCGTTAAAACATTGAAATTATCTTTAGTTCTAGTGCCTGCGATAAGACCTTTGCGTTTAGAAAGATTTAATAGCCTTGACCAATGGTCAAGCTAGCGGCCACACATAAACATGCCGCCGTTAGATACATAATATGACTAACGTTTAATACACATTCTGTCTGGCTGTATAAAACAGCATTCTATTACTCGATGTAATGAGTTGCACTTTCCGTCTGCGGTTCACAGCACAGTGTCGGCACATACTGTTGACATCCTGATGCAAACATTTTAAACCAATCAGTCCATTAGTGTAAAATTGTGACACAAATTGGTACGTCTACCCCGAGACGACGAGGTAAACAAGCTAACCCTATTGGCCGGGTCCTGGCCACGTCTCCACGGTAACCATCAGTCGCCATGCCGACGACGTGAGGTTGTCTGAAACGTTTGTGTGATTACCGTCATGTCCCTGGGTCGTACGTCGCTCTCCCTTGCTAGATTGAAGCTAATTTTGCTATTACATTTTCCGCATACAGGACGATGATTTTGTATTTCTCTGGTGGGTTGAGAACAAACTGTTTTTGGACAGGACAAATGTAAGGATAACTGTGTCACGACAACAGGCCAGATTCCTGAGTGGATGGGGTATTATGACGGCATGCTCGTCAATAAAACACAAGCGGTTGTTTTGTCACCAGTTGTTCTAGACTTTTTTCCGTTATATATTTCCCGTTCATGAAAATTTACAGCACCATACCATGTCTCCGATATGTCTAACAGGAACATTTCGGTTTTAAGTACATTAAGATAAACAAAATGAACGCGCCAGGCTGAATAACTGGGTCCCGCATTCAGAGAATGCTGGCTCGTATATGCGTTGCCCAGAACAGACAATTCGATACGAGAGCTCGGGTTCCATGCTATTACAGCAGATTGAATCAATCCGTTTGATCGTGTTTCGGTTATAACCATAAGCCTGTCGTACATTAAATATGCTATACCTGATCCTGTCACATGGAGGGCTTTATAGCAGCTTCACATGTGTCGCCGACGTATTCAAATTACCCACTTACATCGAAAATGATTAATTATTGAGGATAATTTATATACCTGCTATTTGTATGGCCAGCACAGGTGCTTGGTAGTGAACAACACATCTGTTCCAGCACGATATATCAACACAGGCGACCTTTTAATTATTTTATCCATTTCTTGTTGGTTTCGTTGGTATTTTATCGATTTTTCTGTTGTTGATGATAGTGCGATTGTCTTATAGATTCTATTCTATTCTTTTGTATCATTTTGTCCTTCGGTAAGAAATATATATTGATTAATTATACTTACAGTGTTCCACAATAAACATTACAGGGTAGTGATCTATCAGATAACACATACCTTTCTGAAGGTCATACATCCGGTGGTAGCCGATGGGGGCGGGACCGGAAGTTGGGGGAGGAACCACGCCCACATTATGAGCAAACAGAGACAGGGACTCGGTGGCAGGTAAGTAGTTGAGGTAAGGCGAAGAGTAGATCGTGTTGTTGTTTACAATGTACCTGGCACAACCTGTAGTGAAAAGTGACTGAGTTTATGAACAATATACTGAGCACAACCTGTAGTGAAAAGTGATTGAGTTTATAAACAATATACTGAGCACAACCTGTAGTGAAAAGTGATTGAGTTTATAAACAATATACTGAGCACAACCTGTAGTGAAAAGTGATTGAGTTTATAAACAATATACTGAGCACAACCTGTAGTGAAAAGTGATTGAGTTTATAAACAATATACTGAGCACATTCTGTAGTGAAAAGTGATTGAGTTTATAAACAATATACTGAGCACATTCTGTAGTGAAAAGTGACTGAGTTTATAAACAATATACTGAGCACAACCTGTAGTGAAAAGTGATCGAGTTTACAAACAATATACTGAGCACAACCTGTAGTGAAAAGTGATTGAGTTTATAAACAATATACTGAGCACATTCTGTAGTGAAAAGTGACTGAGTTTATAAACAATATACTGAGCACAACCTGTAGTGAAAAGTGATCGAGTTTACAAACAATATACTGAGCACAACCTGTAGTGAAAAGTGATTGAGTTTATAAACAATATAGTGGGCACAGCCTGTAGAGAGTGATTGAGTTTATCTACAATATAGTGGGCACAGCCTGTAGAGAGTGATTGAGTTTATCTACAATATAGTGGGCACATCCTGTAGAGAGTGGTCGACGTAATCTACAATATACTGGGTACAACATTCTGCAAAAATGACAACATGGTTATAGGCAACATTCTTGCAGAGGCTGAATTTAGCTATAGGTTTTGATTGTGAAAAGATACCGGGACAACAGGTTTTAGATAATAAAAAAGGCTTACTATTGTAGCGTATCATTCAAAACTGTGAAATATTAAATGTCAGGTTCCAATTTCCAAACATGAAATCTATCAATAAATAAATTGCGTGTAACAAAAACGATGATAAAAAGAGGCACCTTGATTTTAATTCCAACAGGTTTTTATTAACACACTGGACCAAACCAATATAATATATTTTAACAAATATGCTTTCTTTCTTTTTCAACAAGCTACATCCCAAAATATCATGACACAGACTCTTATTATTCAAAGAAACAAGAGTGTGTCGAATTAAGACATGGCAAATTATGTTATTAATGAAAGCTAATTTGGTTCAAAATGCAGATAACGCAGTCTACATTTGATTTTGTATGTATTCTTTGAGAACTGTTAGCTACTTTGGTGATTTGATTTCAATAAAGAGTATAAAGATTGCCAGACAAAACTGATCGCTGGGCTGGCCCAATAATGTCCACGCTAAAGTGTGTTGAGTTAACTATGCAAAACTGCCATCAATTAGCAACACATTCATATATCATAACAGCCATAGGTATGTTATGATCATAGTTATGCTTTGTAGTCATTTAAAGTGAACGTTTAGTTTCGATACTCGGGTAACTATATATCTTTTACATGTATCCCTGGTCATTTATGACGCCAAACTTCTTATTTCTCTCCATTAAAGCTACTTTAATATTAACATAGAAGATTGATTGAACGAACGAAAAATAGCATGCTGCTGCATATGATCCTAATGAATTTCTCTATCATATACGATTCATGATACGATCTTAATCAAATCAATTTAGCGAGCAGTTGGCTAGTTAAAGCATGTCTGATGAAATGAAAACAACTTCAATATCATTTTACCAAACACTTAATTCATCCATTCTTCGTTCGACGTTATAATAACGAAGAGTATGATGTTTTATCCACTGTCTGTAATATTACATTAAAGTAGTATCAAAGGCATGTAACAGACATATATCAAACTTGTCCTAGGCAAATAAAAACATATATCACACTTGTCACGGGCCTATAACAAACATACATCACACTTGACACAGGCCTATAACAAACGTACATCACACTTGTCACGGGCCTATAACAAACGTACATCACACTTGCCACGGGCCTATACCAGACATACATCTAACTTGTCTCGGGCCTATAACAGACATACATCAAACTTGTCACGGGCCTATAACAAACATAAATCACACTTGTCACGGGCTTATACCAGACATACATCTAACTTGTCACGGGTCTATAACAGACATACATCACACTTATCACGGGCCTATAACAAACATATTTCACACTTGTCACAGGCCTATAACAAACATACATCACACTTGTCACAAGCCTATAACAAACGTACATCACACTTGTCAAGGGCCTATAACAAACATACATCACACTTGTCACGGGCCTATACCAGACTTACATCTAACTTGTCACGGGCCTATAACAGGCATATATCACACTTGTCACAGGCCTGTAACAGACATACATCACACTTGTCAAGGGCCTGTAACAGACATACATCACACTTGTCAAGGGCCTGTAACAGACATACATCACACTTGTGACGGGCCTATAACAGACATACATAACACTTGTCATAGGCATATAACACACATACATCACACTTGTCACAGGCCTATAACAGACACATATCACACTTGTCACAGGTCTGTAACAGACACATATCACACTTGTCACGGGCCTATAACAGATATATATCACACTTGTCACAGGCCTATAACAGACATACATCACACTCGTCACGGGCCTATAACAAACATACATCACACTTGTCACGGGCCTATAACAGACATACATCACACTTGTCATAGGCATACAACAAACATACATCACACTTGTCACAGGCCTATAACAGACATACAGCACACTTGTCACAGGCATATACCAAACACACATCACACTTGTCACAGGACTATAACAGACATACGTCACACTTATCACAGGCCTATACCAAACATACATCACACTTGTCACAGGCCTATAACAGACATACGTCACACTTATCACAGGCCTATACCAGACATACGTCACACTTGTCACGGACCTATAACAAACATACATCACACTTATCACGGGCTTATAACAAACATAAATCACACTTGTCACAGGCCTATAACACACATACATTACACTTGTCACAGGCCTATAACAGACATACGTCACACTTGTCACATGCCTAAAACAAACATATATCACACTTGTCATAGGCCTATAACAGACATACGTCACACTTGTCACAGGCCTATAACAAACATACAGACATATATCACACTTGTCACAGGCCTATAACAAACATATATCACACTTGTTACAGGCCTATAACAGACACATATCACACTTGTCACAGGTCTGTAATAGACACGTACCAGACACATATCACACTTGTCACAGGCCTATAACAGACACATATCACACTTGTCACAGGTCTGTAACAGACACATATCACACTTGTCACAGGCCTGTAATAGACACATATCACACTTGTCACAGGCCTGTAACAGACACATATCACAATTGTCACAGGCCTATAACAGACACATATCACACTTGTCACAGGCCTACACACGTTAGAAATATAGGCCTATATGACATGTTATACATAGCATTACCTTGACGGTAATAAGATCCACTAAGCCTAGTCATTTATTGGTGACATTGTGCAGGTTAAATGCTCCATAGTTTAATGCACATCAATGCACGCTTCCATAGCATCAGCCATACAGACTTTATAATTCAGTTTTAATGTAACCTTATACTGCTCTTCATTATAGATGTCTGCATAGAATATTATCCGAAATTAATCTTTTTATATAATGTTCAACTTGATAAATGGTCTACCGGATCTTAAGTATGCTTTGTTTGTTAAGCTACAGTATATTATTGATTAATCGGTAAGAATGGTAATAGTTTACGTACAGAGGGACAGGCGATCTTGTTTAACCCCCAACAATTAGGTCCTACATACATTCTGTTAAAACAGCAGCTTCTGCTTCGATAAAATAGTTAATAAAGCACGAAGCCTGACCGCAGATCGACTAAAAATTCATAGAAATATTTTAATTTTTAATTTCTATCCTCATTTTCAGCTGATTAAAACAACAGTGATAGATTAATATTAATTCTTTAAGACAACGTTTGTTGATAAGGAAAATATACATAAGTCCAACAAACAAATCAATGTTGATCATTTCTGTAAAAAGATTATCATCTTAATCATCTTAATCATCTTAATCATCTTCAGCCGTAACCTTATGAAGAGGGGTTTATACTTCCAGATCAGTTTTCACAGGCGTTCCTTAACTTAGTCGAGATTTTATTACTTTAAGTTACGACAAATTCAAGATGTTTTGTGAAATCTGAGCATGTAAACGAGGGGCCACAAAATTGCAGTGATGAATATAAAACCCAATCAAACGTTAAAAATTGAACATGGACACTTTGTAGACCCTCGTTTATATGCTCCTCATATACTTATGCAGGTATGCTAATGAAACGATTTCCTCGTTTTCCTTGACTAAAAAATGCGTATCAAGCACAGTGAAAAACTAGCTTATAGAAAACAAGTGGATTTTTTTTTGCAAATATTATTTTGAGTTCTGGCTCTACCCCAGACTTCTATCCGTCTATATGTTATGTTTTGTGCCGTTGGACCGGATGATACCCCGAAGCCGCACAGGCATGTACGCTACAAAAACACCCAACATACGTCGTGTGTGGCGCAGTAATTCATCTAAAATCCCCGTGGTCCCTGGCGCAAATTGAATACACACATCGCTTTTATATGCACTTTGTAATCATGATGAACACTAATTTGTGTATGTGTATGTGGTGCATTTTACGGCAGTGCAAATGGGGTACAGATAGTTGTAGCCTTTGACTGTTCTTGCATAAACCTACACAATTAAGTCTATGCAAACCAACCACAAAGTGTGTGTAATGGTCTACACACAATAAATTCTATATAAATATGTGATGTATCCATAGATGTGGAATTTCAATATTGCTCACTTGAATGCTGTTTGTAAATGTACTGACTGTGAAAAAGGGTACAGTAAGTGCAGCCAAACTAAAGAGAAAAACACTGTGTCTATCAGCGGCGATAATCTGTTGGGTCAGACTTTGTCAGTTTAAATATTATACAACCATGCATGACTGCTTGTCTTAGTCAAGCAATACATAATTTTCGAAACAATTCAATTTCCTCATTGTACGTGGTAGTTTTTTTCATTACATGATAGGTTTTTTTTACGTAAAGCACGTGATAGTTTGTGTTGTTGAGCACATAATAGTTGCGAATGAAAAGTGATACGAACATAATTATGGGAGTGGAAAAAATATACGAGAGCCCATAATTGTATCGAATTTATTTTGGTTTTAAAAATAAGTATGATTTCCCTTTTCCACATAAATGGGTGTATAGGTTTTCGTTTAAAACAAAAAGCGCCGAACGAATAATCTCGCTGGTTCTTAGTAATGCGTTCATCTTCCTTTTTATGTTATAAAATAATTCATTACACAATTTATACATGTGTGGACCCCAGAATGTTCACCTTTTACAATTCATCCATTTGTTGTTCCCATAGTGGTCAACTAAACACATGCAATGAGGTCATTGCTAATTAAACGAGAACTCATCCCTTTCTCAGCAGGTGGCCACATGAAACATATCGACACCTTGGATACAAAGTATAAGGAAAGAAAGAGACATTGTCCGGAAACAGTCCGCTCGGACACAACATGTTTTAGGACAAAAACTTACCGTCACTTGGGTTATTCCAGTACTGAAAGTCTGGGATAATAGCTTTGAGGTGGTCCCCCATAGGCGCTCCTCCCCCTCCTGACGATAGAAAGCTAGACATCATGGAGTACCCGCCACCTGTCAACACAAACCGGTAGCACCGTTAATTCCCACAAATACCTGACATTGTGTAGTGTGTATTCACGAGCAAGGACTAGTGAGTACCGCCAAGCGTCTTCACGCATGGTGCTGGAGGCCGACAAGGATTGGAATGCTCGACCCGATGACGTAATACGCACATGATGGCAGCACGACTGACAATTTACGTCAGCCGTAATAAAATTTAAAACAAATAACTGCAGAGGCGATTAGCCAATTAGTGGGCAGCTTACAAGTACTGCGAGTCAAGCTCTCGGAGATAGGCAGGAACATAACACACATACGACGACATGCAAAGCCGGGATCCCAACCAGTATAGAATAGGAAATTGCCGTAATCTGCCAGTGCTCAATACATTAATGTCGATGGGTTTACAACAGACGTGGACAAAAACACAACACTTCATTATACATTTTGGTCATTTCTGTAATCTCTACATCAGTACAATATGTGTGTGTGTAGTCTCACATCCGGCTTCCACATGAGCCGGGGGAGCCACAGGGCAGATAAAACGCTGCCAAATTGGAAAACCATTGACGTTTGTTAGCGGAACCCAAGAAACATTTGTATCATTTAGGTTTTTAGGGTTGTAGCGACCGTAACCTGAACATCAGAAGAACTCCAGAAGGTTGAAAGCTGGAAGCGAGTCTACAGCAGAATTACATCTTAGTGACCCGACCAGGATGGCGGGTTCACGGACGTACAGGTGCCACAGAGACGTATGGACGGAGATGAGAAATGGCCTGTGGCATGAGATAAGTTTCCTATAATCTGTGACATGATGTCTGCTGTCAGATAGCTGGCTCCACGGCCCTCAAGTGGTGCTAGGGTTTATACAAAAACATTGCATTGTAATCGAATTTCAATTTGTAATTGATGTATTTTTTGTGATATTTTGATAATAAATCTTTTGTCCGTGAAAATTAAAAACAATTGATCAGAGGAAATTGAAAAGAAGTATGTATTTTCCAGACCAAGGAGTCCACAGAGGACCGTGAATGCCCCATAGTTTGAACTGAAACGATCAACCATATAAAAACGACCAACCATATAAAAACGACCAGTCCATGGTATCCATGAGGAAACCCGATATTACCAGGCCTCAGAATACCTACATAAGTTGTCAGGCTCCAGAACAGTTTGTTTTGTAAAGTTTTAAATATTTAGATTAAGGGCTGGTGTACTAGTACAATGTAACACTTCTGTAATACGCTTCTATGTTTGGAAAAGCATGCATCAGGTTATGGAAACCCATTCCTTATTTACGAACCTATGGCAACAAACTTGTTTCTTATTAATGATGTGATTTATTGCATTGTTACAAATGGATGACACAAAGATATCGTCAGAATAAGGCATCTTCTTCATTATTTACACGTAAAATGGAATATCAATGGATGAAAATTAATTCGTTAGATATAATTACTAATCATGCACAGCCGTAAATAATGGAGAACTGTACGAGGTACAGTGATGTATATATTACCGAGAAGTAAAGTGAGTGATACACAACCTGTCCTTGTCATAGATCAAGTACCTTTATAAACTGTATCTAGATTGACCTTACTCAGTACCGCTATACACGATATTCAAATTAACCCTTCCACTCGTACAAAACGCGCTTGAACATAACATTCATACTAATGGTTTTAATACATAACTCACGAAAGTGTGTTGATGCCGAAAGCTTCTGTATACAAATACAATCATATGGATAAAAGATCAAAGGAAATTAAGCTCATTACATCAGCATGGTTTTGTACAGTGTATGTAACATCGCTTAAACACATTGATCTTATATAATTCAACTTCCAAATAACATACAGAGCACAGCATGCGTTACCTAGTCACTTCTGAATCATAAAGTTTAATTTAATTTGTCAATTATAATTACCAAATATAACTTGATTACCCGTTACAAGAAACAACAAAATTATCTACAACATTAACTACAAAATGTGTAAATAGTACGCGGATTTAGGAAATATTACAGGATTAATTTTGCATCATGATATATATTTTCATAAAAATATAATGTCTATGACTGTCATTTTTAACCTTTTGAGGATTGAATAATTAATAGCCAATCATTTGTGTCTTACAGAAAAGAGGTAAACAATATGTCAAGACTGGAAGTACAGATTGTATAGAGAAATGATTCAAAACCAACGAGGAAACTACATGGTAGCTTGTGAGGAAACGTCATGGTAGCTCGTTCTATTTTCCCCGTATGTACCCATTACAACTCTAACCAACAGCAATGTTTGACAGTTTAATATGGACAGTGTACGAGCGACTGATTAGTTCAGCACAGTGGGGGTTTAGCGAAAATCAACCGCGCAGTCTGACGGACACGACATCTCCAGCGGTAAAGATGGCGGGTATACATCATGGCACAGTGGCGGTACAGTGCAGCATTTGAACCAATATTGTAGGTATGGTAATGACAATACCCAAGCCGTTTATTTGATAATCTACAAAGAGGATATATTTGTTTGTTTGGATGTAATGTGCAATAATATTAAAATGTACTCAAATATCTTAAATCGAGCATTTGTACAATGATTGTTAAGATTTTCGTTATAAGGTTCCAACTAGAACCACGTTAAGCCATTGTTGCCCAGTGAGGCGTCTGCATGTGACAATATATCGATTGTTATCATTCCTTTGTTTACTTGTTTTTTTCTGTATCTACAAAAAAATGTTCAAATGGTTTTTCTATTCTTCGTATTTCATTTTTGTGACTATTTTGCTACATATGCAGTGAAAATCGTCTAAAAGGTTCCAAACTAGAACCATGATACAGACACGCGTTCCCTAGATACCGATGTCTGTATTTTGTATTTGTATAGGTATATATGACGTCAGTATGGGGCAGATTAGTGGTCCGGCAATCCCCTGAAACCCTTCATATCACACTAACACCACTGGTACTGATACACCCTCAGTAATACCTCAGTGTAATTATGTTCAGACAGAAGTGATTTGTGACTTCTCTGTTTCCTGATGTTTAACATGTCCTCGTCGCAAACATCGCAACCAAAACATTTAGCAAGACTGCCTGAATACCCTCGGTATACTGACATCGATATCTTTACTTAATCCTTATCTGTTTTTGAGAATATCCTTTGTGATGACCATAGACTCCATCTTGATTGAGAAAAATGAAAACGTATACGAATTGTGGTGCCGTACAATTTGAAATGCCTGACACTGAATCTCTTTTACAGATTGCCGTATTGCACGTTCAGTGGATTATATTGAATTGGCATTTGATATCGTAGTAAACTTTGCATCTTGACAAGTATGTGGTGACACTATATGTAGATTGGTTTCATCAACAATAGCGAATCAAAGCAAACTCAATGTCTAAAATGGAATAAACACAGTATAATTGTTTACGTTTGAGTGTCTGGTTATGGTTAATGTAAAACATTCATAATATTCCACAATATGGATATGAAAACGGTCAGTTTCCATGTTTTGAATAAAGATTGTTGCACTTAGAAGGGGAATATATCAATACTAAAGTTCTTGATGTATAATTATGTTATGCATTGATATTAATAAATATATTCTTTTAATGTAGAATGCTCCTCGGAACCTGTTCCGGTATCGGTATATAATATAAATTTAACTTCATTGCAATTTGCATTTAATAAAGGTATCATCACAGAAACAAGACTTGTTTAAACGTTAACGCTGCTGGTAATAGGTGAAACTATACCAGATAGATTCCGATTAGTCACGCTATTGTCTTATCCATAACACAGAGTAAGAACAAGATGTTATCATTACTAAACATCAGCACATGTAATTTATTAATATTCATATATCAGATAGAATAGGACAAACGAACTCAAGCGAGAGTCCACGCTAACGGTGTCTGATTGGACAGACGTCAAGTGATGAGGTCCATGTGTGTGCAGCAGCAGATCAATCGGAATGATTATATATTACTGATTCATAAATGTATATATACCATGAATAATATGCCATTGTTTATACGAACGACGTACAGTGTACTTGTGATCACATAGTTCATATCTACGAATCAGTATTTCCTACATTTTACCTGTGAACTATCGAAAATTATCGATTTGATGTAAACTTATATCGTCACTGTTCACATGTGAAGATATCACCTTTAGTATTGACTTATCAAAATGGTATTTTCTATTCGCTTCGTTCACAGCAGTTAAAGTTCAGCTTCAGGTATAGTTGACGATATACTAAGTGATTATTTTGGACAACTTGCCTTTTGTTTAGGAAATCTTACCAGATATTGACAACAAATGGTAGAATCGCGTTGAGTAACCCTTTCAAAATAGAGCTCAGTCTCTTTCCAAGCGTTACGTCATTAAATCCTGATGTCAAATATTACACTTCTAATTTATATGTGTTTTTACTGCAGCCATCCATTGGAAAGAGTAATGAATAGAAAATTTCCTGATTTTCTATTGAATACCATATATTCACTCGTGTTTTACACTCGTGAACTATCGGTATTATGCCATACATCATATATATAGTATTCAACGGAACGCAGGAACTATCCTATGTTATCATGTACGATCTAGTACATATTTTATTTCATTATCAAAATGTACGACCTAGACACGATAGCGATTATTCTCCGATTAAGCTTTTTCAGATGTTATATGTTCGGTTCATAATTACTTTCTTTTTCCTTTGGTGTCGCTCGGTTTGTATCGCCTTTCGTCTTGTTTTGGTTTTTCCTCAATTTTTGATGTCTTTTCCTTTATTTGGTGTTTCTTCGCTGCCTGTCAGTTTTCTTTCCCGTTTTAGTGTTTTCCCCCATTCCCGCTTCTTTGACAAAGTGTTTTGTTCTAATATGTAGACGCTATCGTGTAATTGCTCGATTGAACTTTATTGAATATATAAAACTTTTTTTTTCGATTCACGTGCCATAACCATTTCTAACGGTAATTTTCAAAGCTTAAAAATACATTAAAAAC